GTTCCCGCTCGTCCGTAGATCCCCAACACCTCCGTGCGTGAAAAATGTGTGCGATACACGTTCGCACAAAGGCTTAAAAGATTTGCAGAAGTGACGCTGTATAAATATATATACACACACATATCTCTTCTTTATCATTATCATTGCTACCAATTCACAAACACCGTCTTGGGCATTTACACAATGAAAATGGATGTGGCCCCACAATGTTGCAAATTTCCCATAGCATTGGGGCTGCCCAGAGGCATTGTTTTGACAGGATACAACCTGCTGATGACACCTGGCGAGAGTGAAACCAGTTCAACACCAGGCTAGCCCGCGGTTTGAGTTCATGAGGTTATACGTTGCCGACCAGACCTGGTGAAAGGGGACCCGAGGGTTTTCCTGCGTCACGAGACAAACGTAAGTGGGGAGACGTTACTCTAGAAAGCCCCATCGGGCTGACGAGATGACGTATCGCAGCGCAACGTCACGTATGCGACCTCGCCGGTTGACGCGGGTGCAGGCGGTTATATATACACACACACGTGACGAGGTGGGGCAAGTGGACGCCCGGACAAATTGCTCCAATGCGCTTCGGCAAGGAGCGCACGCCCGAAATGAAGACCACCATTGTGCTAAATCGACTGTTGAACGTCTGTTTAAAAGACGACCGTTGCACGCAAAGGCGCAAAATGCTGCACTGTGTGTGGGCGGTCAATTGGTCGGGGCAGATACATGACAAGTCGGATGTGTTGAAAGTTCCTTTGGGTTACGGAACGCATTTGCTACGTTTGTCGACTTTTACCGTGGATGATTGCTTTACCTATAAATCAGCAAGTCAGCAGAGAGAAGTCCGTAAAAGTGTTTAAAATACAGCAGAGCGACATCAACGCGCCTCCTCGTTATCTTAAGACGAGCACACCCGCGAATAACCGTTGTAAATATATACGTTTGCCTTTCTCTAAAAGCGAAAATAAAACCAAGCACAGTGAAACTGCTCGTGGAGAACATTACTTTCCAACCATTTGAAACTTTTCAAATTATTTAAACGCTCGCGCGCGCCCGCTCTCTCTCTAACGATGTGCGCACGTGGAAAAGATTAGGATCAAATGCTCGTGAGTTTGGTCTTTAAAGATCGGAGACGACAGCGCGTTGCGCAGCGGAGGGAAATGCCGCTCTTCCACCGGATACTTCAAAGTACCAGGGGCTGCGATCGCTAACGGAAAGCACAACAGCCCCCCCCCCCCCGCCGCCGCCCCCCACCCAAAAACGCCACTCTTTAAAGAAAAAAAAAAGATTTCAGTAATTCGTCTCAGCCAACAAATTCGCTCTTGGATGGCGAATGCGATTGTGCTCAAGCAATACATTAACGAGATAGTGCATGTAATTAACGACTCGATCCGCTCGTAAAAACTTACTAACGCAAAAAAAAACCTAACAACCCTGTTCATCATCCACGAGCCCCTTGACTTAAAAAAGCAATGCTTCTCAACTGTTTTGGGTTTTTTTTTGGTGCTAAGGAACCGTTTACAACCGCTACCACAAAGTCCCATTCGTGGGCGAGCTTTGTTTACACAATCGTTTAAATCTGTGGAGATGTACTGGGGTGCTAACGTCACTACGCGGCACGGTTAGCGGTTCCCACCTTTTTCCACTGTAGACCAAAACCAGACCGCCATTATACCCATGTCAGCATAGGTCTATCAACAGTGCAATTCTATTGCATTAACCTTCAACACAATACCACCAGATCTTGGTGTGCAAAGCAATTTCAAGCGACAAGACACCATTTCTCGGACTGGCGGCAAATCCTTCAGCCCGGTTGGGCCCTTTTTGCACACGTTGCATTGCCACCTCTGTGACCCCTACGGACTTGCCAGAGGCCCTCTTTCTTACTTGCTTACGCCAGGAGGGCCCCACAATGGCGTAAGAACCGAAGCCCTTCTAGTTGCTATTGCGCACAGATCCCGACGAGTTTAAATCTACACAAGCAGACTTGACACACAGAGTTCGCTTGCGGAGCTTGGCGAAATCATTCCAACGCAGCTCCGGTGGGCCAGATGTACGAAACGCGTTGAGCAACATTTCTCTAGTTTGGAATCAAAATCGGCGTAATCAAAGGGAAAATGTCACTCGAGGTGCGATTCATTATGAGAAACCAGCCCCAGGTTCTCATGCAAACCGCTGCAACAGTATTGGACTATACGGGCAGCCTTCACAAGGCCGTAAACACGCACACTTTTGCCCCACGATGCACATTTTGGTCGCTGTAATGCTTAAGAGACATCGCGTGGGTATTTTACATACCCTGTACATTCGTCTTGTAACCCGACTTTCACTCGGCGTTTGGCACATTTTGTCGATTGTCTCAATGGGAGAGCGCAATGCGTTGCAGATTTTGGCAGTGAAATCGGATGCCGCCTCGAACGTGTCACAATAGCCAGCAGCGTGGCTCTCACCGAGGCAACATTGTGTGGCCTTTCGCAGTCCTGTGCCTGGGTAAAGTGTATATAACAATACAGCAACAAAAACGTAATTCTTTATAGTGTCGTCGTTCATGCAAAGAGCATCTCGCAACGCTAAGGAACCACAAAACTGTAAGGGCAACCAGGTGGGCCAGTTTGCGCTCCAAACAACTGCCCAAGCTCTGCAGTCCTCTATATATGAAGTTGTTTTCAGGCTAAATAATGAGCGTTCACACATGATACAGGGAGGGCTTAATTCTTTCACTCGATATTTTCCGGGAACGCTGGGGAGCAGGGAGAACAACACGTGAGGGTGCCTGACATCACGTGCCGCGCGGCTTCACATCACCAACACCAATCCCCTGCTCCCTGTTGTGGTGAACATGTTGCCACGAAATACCCACGGAGATATGCGAACTCCAAAGAAGGTTTACACGTTGCTTTGCCAACGTACCCCCCCCCCCCCCCATCATCAACCAAGACCTCAACAATGCTCCTCGCTGCCGACTCAAAAGTCCTGATCCCCCCCCCCCCGCCACCCCTTTCTGGGTTCACGCTGCTGCCGGCACCATCCTAGAGTCTCACCCAGGTTCCGGAAGTACGCTGGGGAAGAGTGCAAACAGCGCGGACGTCCAGAATCGACACCTCGTGTACGGTGAGCGTGAACAACCTCGACTCTGCCCATATCTGTGAAATAATTTCACGAGAAAACACTTAAATTAACTCAACAAATGATAAGTAGACACTTAAGACATGATTGTACGCAAGGCCGTCCATGGGGGCATGGGGGGGGTACGGGGGCCCGGGGCAATTTCCACCATGTCAGCCCCCCCCCGACGCTTTTCAAACTAAACCCCCAAAGTGCGGGACCCGGGGCAGTAGCCCCGATTCGCCGTACCCTAGGGATGGCTCTGGTTGTATGGTCACACCCAGACCCTAGGGATGGCTCTGGTTGTATGGTCACACCCAGACCCTAGGGATGGCTCTGGTTGTATGGTCACACCCAGACCCTAGGGATGGCTCTGGTTGTATGGTCACACCCAGACCCTAGGGATGGCTCTGGTTGTATGGTCACACCCAGACCCTAGGGATGGCTCTGGTTGTATGGTCACACCCAGACCCTAGGGATGGCTCTGGTTGTATGGTCACACCCAGACCCTAGGGATGGCTCTGGTTGTATGGTCACACCCAGACCCTAGGGATGGCTCTGGTTGTATGGTCACACCCAGACCCTAGGGATGGCTCTGGTTGTATGGTCACACCCAGACCCTAGGGATGGCTCTGGTTGTATGGTCACACCCAGACCCTAGGGATGGCTCTGGTTGTATGGTCACACCCAGACCCTAGGGATGGCTCTGGTTGATGGTCACACCCAGACCCTAGGGATGGCTCTGGTTGATGGTCACACCCAGACCCTAGGGATGGCTCTGGTTGATGGTCACACCCAGACCCTAGGGATGGCTCTGGTTGATGGTCACACCCAGACCCTAGGGATGGCTCTGGTTGATGGTCACACCCAGACCCTAGGGATGGCTCTGGTTGTATGGTCACACCCAGACCCTAGGGATGGCTCTGGTCGTATGGTCACACCCAGACCCTAGGGATGGCTCTGGTTGTATGGTCACACCCAGACCCTAGGGATGGCTCTGGTTGTATGGTCACACCCAGACCCTAGGGATGGCTCTGGTTGATGGTCACACCCAGTCCCTAGGGATGGCTCTGGTTGATGGTCACACCCAGACCCTAGGGATGGCTCTGGTTGATGGTCACACCCAGACCCTAGGGATGGCTCTGGTTGATGGTCACACCCAGACCCTAGGGATGGCTCTGGTTGTATGGTCACACCCAGACCCTAGGGATGGCTCTGGTTGATGGTCACACCCAGACCCTAGGGATGGCTCTGGTTGATGGTCACACCCAGGGATACAAATCTGCCGGAGCTGTGCAGGAATAAGCTCCAGAAAATATTTTCCGGCCCCTCACCACCACCTGCCCCCCCACCCCCCACCTATCCCCGCACCATCCTCCCCACGCCACCCTGAGCTTACTATCAGATGGGGGGGGGAAATCTAGGGTAACTTGAGGGCCCCAAATGATATTCCAAGAGAAATTAAGCTCTGGTCACACTTGACCTTTGAACCCGTGGAGGAACTGTCAACGAATCATCGCGATTCAGCAGCCGGTTGTGCGTCGTCTCGGTATCACCATCTCAAGCACATCGCTCCGCGTGCCATCCGGCTCGTGCGTACGGCTCCGTGCGTGGACGTAAACGCGTGCGTTTGTGTGTGCGCACGTCATTACGCGCTCGCTGGGCACGTGTCGATCCACACCCTGGACTACCCTCGGCAACGGGCGCAGTGGCCAGCGCACCTCGCTACGAACCCGGCAGCCCGGGTTCGATTCCCGCTAACGCCGAAGAAGTCCCGATTATCCGAACCGGTCCTGGGCCTCCCCTAGGTCGACTCAGGCCAAAATGAGTACCTGGTGCGGTGTGTAAACATCGGCGCGAGGGAGACAAAGGCGGTGGGGGCGTGGTGCTGGCCACTCACCCGCTCGTGTGCCGTTCCGGCCTTCATTAGGTGCTCGCTAACAGCACTTGCCCCAACAATTTTCTAGGGGCTCTGCGGGGGATCTTTGCCGTTGTCGTCACGCGTTTTCCGCGCACGCGTCAATCCGCACCCTGGGCACTCTTGCCAAGGGGTTTTTTTGTTTTTGCTCCATCTCGAGGGCCCTTTCCGGGGTGAAATATTTAAATAAATAATGCTATTAAAAATAAAAGTGCCGCGAAGTGGCGGTGGCGGAGGCAGTGCAGTGGTCCGAAAGCGCCGCCGTGCGACAAAAACGCGGCGGCCCCAGTTCCGATTCCCAAGCCACGGCCAACGCCGGTTGACAAGCGACGTCTAAATTCGGTCCCCGTGTCTTTACCCTCCACCCCCCCACCTCCGTCCCCCCCAGGTGAGCAAGCCGACGGTGGTGAATAACCATCAGCACCGCGGAGACACGGACAGACGGGCGGGCGTGGTGGCGGCCACACCGCCACCTCTCGTACAGCGTCCCGTGCCTCAACAGGCGCTCACCAACAGCACTTGCCCACCCGGGTAATCCTACGTTGCTACGCAAGGGGCGCGCGGGTGTGTGTGTGTGTGTGTGGGGGGGGGAATCTTATAAGTCAACGTTGAGTCGATCAAGCGTGCACACGTCTCTCTGGGGTTGCGCACTTGGGTCTGTACTTCCGGACCCACGGCGGGCAACGGAAGCAAAGCTTGAACGTTTCTGTTGCACGAACTTCCTAGGGCACAGGACCGCCACCCCAACACCCCATTTTAAACGTTCGCCCGCCCAGTGCCGTCTGTCGTTGCAACGCAACCCGCCGCACGCACGGCCTCCCGACGTTAAAATAGGGTCATGGCGATGACCTTTTCTTGCCACCTCGTTCATCAAAACAAGGCTCACTTCTGCACCATGAAAGGCTCTCCCCGAACGAGAATCAATACGCCTTTTCAAGCCACGTCACCTCCATAACGCTCACCGACAGTCGCACCGAGGCCACTGACTCATCACTAGACTATACCCCCATTACTAGACTATACCCCCATTACTAGACTATACCCCCATTACTAGACTATACCCCCATTACTAGACTATAACACCATTACTAGGCTATACCCCCATTACTAGACTATACCCCCATTACTCGACTATAACACCATTACTAGGCTATACCCTATTACTAGACAATATTCCCATCACGACATTCTCGACTACATTCCAGACGAATGTGTGCTCAAAGCTAGTGTGAAGGGATAACTCTGAGCGTTCAAGTCTAGAACCGATATAAAATGAGCCTGCATTTCAGTGTACTACTGGGCTATTAAGTTTATAGGAAGCTCGGCGAATGTGTCCGTGGCTAGCCTACAATAGATACGCATCGATAGCGGTTGCGCAGATATGCGTAGATATGGGAGGTGCAATGGCACGGTGGTTAACACAACGCAAGATGGACCAACAAAAGCAACTGAAGAGAGAACAACTCAGGGAAGAAGGGAGATCGGACGAAGGAAAGAGGGAAAATGTGTTGCCGGGTCGGAAAAAGCTCCCGGCAATTACTCAACCGGTAAATCCAAACGTCGCAAAACGCCGCCCGTGCTGCCGCCACCGCCAAGCTCACGCAGCAGGCCGCGTCTGTGACACGGAGCGGCCGAGCTGAGCGATCGCCCTGCATTCTCACCCAGGCGGATGTGAAGTGCAATAAGGGTCCGATTTGATTTCATCTCTTGGACAGCCAACGATATGCTGTGTGCGTTGCGAGTTGACATTACGTTATTTTATAACAGGGACCAGAAGGGGGGGATGATGGTCTTGTTGGGGAGTGGTGGGTGGGTGGGGTGGGTGGGCCCGTGCTAACGTTCCTGGGTTGTTCCTGGGCCACTCCCGGATCCGGCGGCGCCGCTCCGGTTCGTTCGTCGTCTTCCTCGCCGTAGATCACGGCGGGGGACGCGCGCGAGAGTTGGGAGCACACGCCCCGGTGCGACGCGCGCCCGCGCCCGCGCCTAGTCCAGCACGGGGCCGAGCGTGAGCGCGAGCGAGTTGTCGTGAGACAGGTCGAGGTCGGCCAAGGGCTGGCTCGCCGCCCCGAGGAAGACGGAGCGCTTGCTGCCCTGCACGCTCCACACGCTGATCTGCAGCGCACGCTGCGCCAGCGCCTCCCGGCTGTAGCTGCTGTACAGGAACTGCGCCGTCGCGAGGGAGCAGAGACAAGTAGGGGGGAGGTGGTGGGGGTGGTGGGGGGGGGGTGGGAGATGAGGTGTTAGCGGGAGAGACAGAGGGAGAGAGAGCACGGAGCTGTGGATATAAAAAAAAAAACCTCCTACGATTCCCCATGCTGGCTGTTACCCTTTGGGAAGTTACACAATCGGCCAGCCGGCGGCGCAGCGGTGGAGCGAGCGGTTCGCAATTGGGAGAGGTCGCGAGTTGAAATCCTGGCTGTGAGGTGTGGTTGACTCAACCCATCATCCCTCCGGTGTCGTTAAAATGAGTACCCGCATTGTGGGGAAGTCTCCACCCTGACTGTCCTCCGGATAGACTCACCCCCGCCATAGGAATGTAGAATTTCCTTCACTGGCTCAGGCATGCAAACAAGGAATAAGTACTGCCTCATTGCTCATTTGAGCAGGAAATCACTTTCGGCATTACATGGGCAGTTGGTCAGAGCGTCGAGCTGGCAGCGCTGCTAGTCTGGGTTTCAGCCACATGTGATTTGGTTGCAGGGTCGTACGTACCACGTCGTCGAATGTGGGTTTGGGTGTTCGCGGAGGGTCGTACCATCTCGTTGAACGTGAGGATAAGTGTTTCGTGCAGGGTCGTACCATCTCATCGAATGTGGGTTTGGGTGTTCGCGAAGGGCCGTACCATCTCGTTGAACGCGAGGTTAAGTGTTTGGTGCAGGGTCGTACCATCTCGTCGAATGTGGGTTTGGGTGTTCGCGGAGGGCCGTACCATCTCGTTGAACGTGAGGTTAAGTGTTTGGTGCAGGGTCGTACCATCTCGTCAAATGTGGGTTTGGGTGTTCGCGGAGGGTTGTACCATCTCGTTGAACGCGGGGATAAGTGTTTGGCGCAGGGTCGTACCATCTCGTCAAATGTGGGTTTGGGTGTTTGCGCAGGGTCGTACCATCTCGTTGAATTTGGGGTTGGGTGTTCTGTGCAGCACACGCGTCTTGCGCTTGGTGGCGAGGTAAGGGTCTGGCAGCAACAGCGTCTTGACACACGGGAAGAGATATGATCCTGCGGGAGACACCTGGCGAGACGAGCCGCACAGAGAAGGGTGGTGTTTCATCGACAACTTTATTTTTGCCACCACTAGTCAACCAACGTTCTGCTTTGAGGCAAAACACTTAATAATAATCTAGTACATTTGTTATTCGTGCAATTCTTCAAGTGAAAAGCTACAAGAAGCTGCTATGCTTCACGGACACGGCCTGCAGTAGTGTCACAGTAGGGTGGCGATGTTGCTGCTGCTGCTGCTGCGTGTAATCCCGAATGGTTAACTTCGAATCTGGCAAATTTTGACTGCAACGCCTGCAACGCAACGGCCTAGCTGACCGTCGCGGGATCTTTAACTTTCGCGGCGAAGGCGAAGGGGCGCGCGACGGCACCGTTATGGATGACACGCCCCGGCGATCTTAACCCAGTTCGCGGCCTGCGAGACCTTGAGCCCGAACCTCCCCGGGGGGGGAACGAGCTCGCCCTCGCTCCCCCGTCCCTCGCGCCGATCGCGCAGACGACGACGACGACGACGACTCACCAGGCCGCGGCAGCCGAACACGAGGACGTAGAGGCTTCCGTTGCGGTGAACGATGCGAACGTCCACCTCGCCGCCGGGCTCGGAGCCCAGCGGCACCGCGTGCAAGCCCTCTGCGTGGGCCCAGAGACAACACGAACGTACCGGGGTAGGGGAGGCGGCACAGCAGCGGTTGAAAACTCGTCATCTGGATCAGGGGTCGGCAACCTGCGGAGCCGCACAGCGGCGGCTAAACAAGGAGTGCCTCGTGACGTTGTTTATAAAGGACCGCCGTCTCGTAGTCACTTGCATTGCGGCTCCTTACATATTGAGGTTTGTACTGAATACGAGAAAAAATGGCTGCCAACCCCTGGTCTAGATTGAGAACTCATTCCTTTAGAACTGCCTTTTGTGTTTAGTTTGTCTTCCTTCCCCCCGCACATCCGATTAGGACTCTCATATTCCGTTTACAGCCCTACGTCAGTAGCGGTGGAAACCCTTCATTCCAATGACAGGGGGTGAGTCTGTCCAAACTCCAACCACTATTGACTTTCCCCGCAAAGCGGTACCTATTTTATCGACCCCATGATGGACTGAATCAATCCCCCCACAGCCAGGATTTGAATTCGCAAGCTTTCTATTGTCACTTCCAATTAGCACGGCTGGCTACATGCAGTGGGAAATAAGTTCAAAGTCTGTATTTAGAAAGACACACACGAGAGTGACATTCACCCCATCCACCTAGAACCCTCCCAGACCACCCAGGTCACCCCTGTGAAAAAAAAGGAGGCAATATTTCATCATGCATCTCGATTAGGGTAAACGTCATCTCCTGGCTAAATACTGCTTTGTTTTTGATACTGCTTTCTTTGCATGTACGAATGTTGAACTTCTTTCACACCGCATGTAGTCAACCGTGCTAATCGGAGGCGCTAATCTGCTTCGGCCGTCCATCTCTAACGACGGCGATGACGACTGCGGAGAATAGCGAGGAGCAGCATTTTCCCCGCGCGCTCGTGGGATGAGAGCCCAGCAGCCCTTGAACAGAAGCATCGGCTGCACTGTGGCCAAGAGTTTCTCGTCTGCTGCATGGGATTTGTGTTGTGCCGCTGATGGTGTCGATGCCGATAGGTTTGGTTTTTTCTTTCCCTTTTTCTATTCGTATATGCATTAAATATAGACACCAATATTGCCAAAATGCAAAAAACTAAGCTATAAACTAAACAATTATTATTTTACCAGGTAAGGCCCACTTGAGCTAGAAAGTTATTTTTCAGAAGCGACCTGGCCACAAATGATAGCTCAACCAAGTGGCTCATGATGTTAACATTTATAGCAGCCAAATAATCCGAACGCACGTCGATTCTAAATGTGGAGGCAAAAACCGGAGGGCCCGTAGAAAAATCCGCGCGACCACGGGGGAGATACAACAGGCGTCAGGGTCTGGATCGAACCCACGACCTCCTGTATACCAGGCGAGGTAGGTTAACATCTCCGAGCCACCGTGGCGTCCAGAAAGAAGACACTGACCTGGAGACGATGGAGAGCTCTCAGCGTCTGACTGACTTTGGTCTCGAATGAGGGACAACAGAAACATCGCCACCAGCTCACACTGGCAGAGCGCAGGAGGACACAGAGACAGGTGTTAGAGCCTTGGCCATCGCCGCACAGCATCATGGTAAGGGGAATCGAACTCGGGTCACCAGGTTTGTAGCGCAGTGCGCCCCCCAACTGCTCCGCTCACCTATACCATTAATTGTTGGGGCAAGTCTGTTAGCAAACGCATATTAAGGCCAGCAACCCACGCACGGCCGCCTTTGTCTCCCTCATGACGACGTTTTCACATCGCACCTGGTACTCATGTGAGGCCGAGTCGACCTAGGGGAGGCCCAGTACCGATACGGATAATCGTCACTGGTGTAGGCCGTGAGCGGGAATCGAACTCGGGTCGCCGGGTTCTTAGCACAGCGCGCTAACCACTACACGACCGCTCCGCTCCCCAGACTAATACGCACTCAGAATAATAATAATAATACACACAAAGACAGAGATACCCCGTATAGCCTTCACAGACCGTTGGGGCAAGTGGCACGCATTTTTACAGACGCACGCACACACACACAGGTGCACACGCTCGCACCTGTGCCACCTCTGGCGTGGTGTACTGCAGGAGAGCTGCCAAGTAGTTGCTGATGTCTATTTTCCGGCGAGCCGCCACCTCCTGAGTGTTCACCCGGCCGAGGATGAGCCGGTTTGGGAACCTTCACAACAACACCATCGCCTTCAGATTCATCATCACCGTCATCACTGTCAACACAGCGCCAACTCGTCACGGCGTGGGGGAGGCCCTCATCCAGCAGTGGATTTACAAGAATGGCCGTACACTTACAAGAGGCAGTACACGTTGGGGGGCGGTGACGTGGCCCCGCAGTTGCGCGTTCGTCGCTTGCCGCAGAGGTTCGCGGTCTGAATCCAACTGCTGCCCTGGTTATCACTGCGGGCCGTGACAATACGCGCTGCCGCGTGCCTCCAAGTGGACGTTGAGTACCACCTCGCGTCATTCACAAAACTAGGTCGCTGTGTGCCGGCGTCCGGGTACAATATTGCCAAATTCGAAAATGACCCGCAAGTTAGCCAACTGGGAATACACGTGTGTCAATAATCGCCCCCTGCTCCGCCGCGCCTCCGATTGGCAAGAGCTGGCTATGTGCGGTGCGGAAGAAACTCAGCAAACGTAGTAACAGGCAAACGACTGCAGGCTGAGGCCTGCGAAATTCAGCGGCGCCCCCCTCCTTGGCGATAGCCTCGCGCTATAAGCACGGCGCGAATACCAACTTTTTATTACTTTTTAATTCACGAACAGGGTGAGAAGATCCACACGCAACGCAGCTCCTCACCGCGGCAACTTTGGCGCGGGGAAGAGCATAGACAGCTTCGAGTGCAGCTCCTGCAGCTCCCCGAACGTCCTGTGGATGACGCTGGGCTTCGGGTGCCCTTCGCGCTTCACCTGAATCGAGTAGAGCTGCAGAGCGTTGCGTGGAGAGGGTGGGAATGGAATACACGGGAGCTCAAGTTGATTGCGCAGTCGAAGCCGTGAGATGTATAGATCCAAATGATGACGTTGAGAATGCAGAACCGCTAGGTGAGAATCAGAATCTTTATTCATCCTGGAGAAATCTGATGAGGTATGAAGTTCTTTTTTTTACAGATGTCCAGTAGGGGCACGGGGTCAGAAAAATAGGAGTGCTATTTTTTTTACCCTTTGGGAAGTTACACAATCAGCCAGCCTGCTAAGTATACGAAAGGTAAGCAAATCACGCAGGGGCGGAGCAAGGATTTTCAGCCCGGGGTGACATTCAACAAATTTTAATTTCAAGAATGATTAGAGAGTCAGGCTGTTGAACTAGACGCCATCGGTCGGCGACACGCTCTGACAATGCAGTTGCACGAAGTCCGCCAGACCGAGTGTCGTACACTTACACGCAGAATGTTTCAGATTTTCGATTTTTTATTTTTTTTCGGGGGTGACAATTGTCTACCCCGTCACCCCCCCTGGCTCCGCCCCTGAAATCACGATAAACAAATTAAGAAATATACTGAAACTAAATCTTTTTTCACCAGGTAAGGCTCACTGAGCTATTAGGTTTTTTTTAGAATAGACTTGGCCACAAATAATAGTGGCTTACCATGTGGAAATGTACAGCAGCCAAATTATCTAAGTGCATGTTTCTAAGATGGATACGTAGAATCAGAATCTTTCCTTATCCTGGAGAAATCCGATGAGCTATTAAGCTCTTTTTTTCACAAGACGTCCAGTAAGGGCGGGCGGGCGGGTGGGTACGTATGCAGGCGAGTGTGTGGGTGTGTAGGGCGGCAAGGTGAGTGTGGGTACGCGGGTAGCTGTATAGGTTGGCGGGGCACGCACGTAGTACTTGTCAGGGTTGTAGCGCTTGCTGTAGCCCGTGACGCACGCGTGCAGGGCCCGGCCCTGGGCCGAGGCGGCGGCGATGGCGAGGTCACGCGGGGTCACGATGGAGAGCGAGGGGCGGCCGCGATCCGGCGACGAGCCCAGCGTGCCGGTGCCGGGCGCGCGCAGCTGTGCCAGGTTGTGGATGAAGAAGTTCATGCGCGTGGCCAGGCTGCTGAGGCTCAGCTTGATGTGCCTGCGACGACGGCAGCATCGACGCGTGGCAGATGCGGACACCCGGCGCGCGCGAGTGGAAAATTAAAGACTCTCCAATAGCGTGCGGCTGCGGGTGTCCGGAACAGACCGTAACAACGTGTAATGACGCAATGCCCTGATCCACAAATACAAAGGAGACGTAACAGCGATGATACACTCAGCTGCTCCCGAAGCAGCCATCAGGCTGAGCCACCTGCATGTGAAATTGTAGTTGTTGCTCTGCATATAAATCAACCGCCATATGAAAGAACAAGAAGAAGTGGCTCGTTATTGAGTTTCTGTTGTAAGACCCACCAACCACCTGACGCCAGCCAAACAAATGAGAATCTGTATTTATCCTGGAGGAATCCGATGAGCTATGAAGCTCTTTTTCACACATGTCCAGTAGGGGGAGGGTCAGAAAGTTACAACAACAAACAAGACAAAAACACGATAGGAGTGCAAAGTATAGCAAAGGTCAAAAGGTCACTAAAAATAAAAAAGAAAGTATACAAATACAAATTGCTAATAAAATTGTCATGCGTACAAGCGGATATGCCAAGTTGCACCGTTTGACTCGGCCATGTGGCTCGGTGGGACAAGGCGAGGTTCACCACTGGAGGGTTGCGAGTTCAAGTCCTGCTTGCGGGGGTTGACTCCGTCCATCGTTACCCCCGGGGGTCGATAAAAAACGAGCACCACTTTGTGGGGAGGTCAACAGTGGCCATCTTATGGATCAACTTTGCCCCTGCCATTGGAATGTGGAATTTCCTACCACTGGCTCAGGGTTGTAACCAGGACGTGAGCACAACCTCGATGCTTATTTGAGCAGGACATCACCATGACTGTATCATTATTATTCCGTATAATAACAGCCGAGCGATGTCACTGACCTCCGAACCACTCTCACCCTGAAATCGTAGTTTTATTGCAAACCAATATTAAACATCGATGCTGCACTTAATTTATCCGAGAATAAAAAATATACATTCGACTCGTGCGACGAACGTTAACTCTCATACGCAGAACGGGTGGGAGAGTGCCGCCCCCCGGCTGTTTGTGGACCAGAGGTCACTTGGAGGGATCTCAGAGGTAGCAGCTCTGTGACATCCGCTTGAGCGGGGCCGTTCACCAACCAGAAAGGGGGGCGGGTCACACTGCGCCACGAGAGAGGATGCTTCGTCTCGTGATGAGACGTCAACACAACCGGGATAAAGGAAAAGAAAAAAAAATAGAAAAAAAAAAGAGATCGCAAAAAAAATAAACTCGTAATAAGACTAATCACGTGTGACAACCACGGCGGAAACGTCACGTGATTTAATTGAATGTATTTTATACTCTACGTGACTTTACCGAAAGAATCGAAGAGCATGGATCCCTGCAGTCACGAAAACTTCACATCTAGATTAAACACGCGTGGCCCGAGGGCCTGCAAGTTGGTCCTTACCCCGTGAAGAGCTCGGCGGCCTCTGCCTCGGTGGCTTGGGGCCGGAGTGCGTCGCGCACATAAACGAGGCCCTCCATGTTGGACAGCTCCGGGATGCCCGACGTCATCATCTGAGCACCACGCCGCCACACGCGAAACACAACTCAGAGGGGGGTGGGGGGGGGGGGCTCCCCCCCATGGAACCGTCTAGGCCAGGGGGTCGGCAACCGGAGGCGCCAGGAGCCGGTATGCGGCTCTCCAAGGACTGGTTCGTGATGTTCGTTATTAAGGACCAAAGTTTCTCGTATTCACATTGAGTTGCGGCTCTTGAAATATTGCGGGTTTTTGTTTTTTTTACCGAATTCTAAAAAAAAAAAAATCGCTCGTGTTATTTTGGTTGCCCGACCCCTGGTCCAGGCCGTTGGGGTGAAATTGCTTTTACCGAGCGCCTTGTGAATCCCAGGGCCATCCGAAATTCTCTTAAAAACCACTTGTTATCTCATTCCCACCCTTCCTTCTCCCCTAGTTGTCCTCCCCACTCGTACTAACGCCTTCCCTGTCCACAACTCCCCGTGGTCACCCATCATAAATCCACTCATCTCATTTCCATCTTCGTTTATTCCACGCATCGTCAAGACCACCACCACCACCACCACCTTGTTTTACAAACATCCCATCCACTCATCTCGTTTCATTTCGCCAACCATCTTGGATCATTGTTAGTTCACTGTCCAAGATAAGCACGAGGGGACACGTGTGTGTGCGGTGTGGCCGGGACCCAAGCCCCGGCCGCCTTTGTCTCCCCCTGGTGCTGATATTTACACATCGCACTGGACGCTCATTAAAGGCTGCATAACAATGTGAAGACCTCTCTCGTCAGGCGGCGGCGGTGGTGGTGGGTGAGACCGAACGTGTGGTCCATTTGGATGTCGGGTGACGATTTTGCAACAGCTGCGTGATCAAGCGGAAGGAAGGAAGCGGCGGCATCAGCAGCACGAGAAACGATGGCGATCTTGGCCCCGACTGATGCAATGTATCGGCAGAAGCAAAAACTGCATTTCCAAGCGCTATTTTTATTCATTATTTAAAGTCCCTCGGCCTATTTGGTTTCCAGACCAATGTCATCCAGCCCCGTCTGTCCTAAGCACTCCGAAGCCAGCGGTACGCTTGACAGATCAATTAATATCCGCACCAAAGAGAGAGCGGGGAGAGAGCAAGGAGCACTGGGTAAGAGCATACACGCGGCGATGTACCGCCCCCACTTAGCCCCCCCTCCAAGCTGCCCCAGCCCTCGCATCCCCTGGCTCGCCGCCATCGCTCACCAGGCCCAGGAGGTTGAAGAGGAGTCCCGCGTGCTTGCGGATGGCGTTGTACGCCTGGCAACAGAGCTCCACGAACTGCTGGAAGCTGCTGGTGGGACGGTCGCCGCCGTTCATGACGTACGCCATGTCGGCCGTCAGCACGAATGGGGTGCGGTCCCTAGAGCGTGTGGACACACGTACGCGTACAAGCGCGTAACAGTATGACCTTGGATTGCGAGTAACTCGGTCTGTGTTTTGCAAGACGAGCAAATAATTTTAAATGAATATTAATTTGATAAACGAGCGAGGGTCTTGCAATGCGAGTGGTACGTGTACTCGCTTTGCCAGCCGAGCGTCACGTGATCACAACTGATATACGAGTGCTTCGATATGCGACTGCTTTGGACTACAAACACGTTTCCGGAACAAATTATGCTCGCAATCCAAGGCTTTACTGTACTTGCAAGGGATGTGCTCCCGATGTTTAGGTAGATCTGAAAAATAGCGACAAACGGGCCTACACCGAGATCTAAATTTCACTATTTTTATTTTACCAGGTAACGCGTGTGGCGCGGTTTGGCGCCAGCTATTGTAGAGTGCAGCGGTCACGTCGCTACGGTTCTCTGCGGCGAGTGCAACGTCTTTAAAAAAACAACGGCGCTGCTACGCCTCTCTAAATAAAATGAACGCCGAGCCGATTTGCGTGTTCCGAGAATCAGTGGTTGAAAGGGAACCCCCTCCCCACCACCACCCTGCAACTTGCAGACGCCTTAGAACGGCAAAGGGTTAATTGTGCTTTCAAATTTAAAAAAAAACACCATACCACACAAGTAAATTTGAGAAGAGGTACAATGAGCACTACCGTTTGATGTTTCCGAACATCTGCGCGTGGCCCAGGAACTTGCCGAAGTCCACGTGGAACATGTGCCCCGTGGTGCGTAGCATGATGTTGTCGTTGTGCCGATCGCAGATGCCGAGCACGTACGTGGCCACGCAGCAGCCGGCGCACGAGTAGATGAAGTTCTCCACCGCCTGGGTGCGTGCACACAAAGACAAAGATCCTCCCGTCCCCGTATAGCCTTAACAAACTGTTGGGGCAAGTGCGTGGAACAGCATCCATGCTCGGCCTCCTGTCTCCCCGTGTCGACGTTTTCACACCGCACCAGGTACTCATTTGAAGCCGAGTGGACCTAGGGGAGGCCCAGGACCGGTTCAGATAATCATCAATGGCGTTGACCGTGAGCGGGAATCGAACTCGGGCCGCCGGGTTCATAGCGCAGCACTCTAACCGCTACACTAACACACACAAATACACACGCATTAACAGATGGAATGCGGCCTTGATGACTGGTTGAGAATTGCGGCCTTGCCCAGCGGGCACGAGGTGTGAAAAAGTCTCGAGACTCAGCGAGGCTCTCCAAGTCGATTAACCGTGGGCAGAAATGCGGCCTTGCCCGTTGGTCACGCGGTGCGGTAGCCCCCTTACCTGCTGGTACTGCTGCTCAGAGGGGTTGTGTTTGCGCAGCCAGAGGGCCAGCGGCGTGTCCTTGAAGGATCCCGTCACTCCGTGCTCTCCCTGGATCCGGCGCAGCGTCTCAGCTCCCGGCACCAACTCCACCATGCCTGCACGAGACACTCGCCACACGGCGTCACGGCACACGTGTCATTCGGCAAACAGCACGTGGCGTCACAACACACTGCACGCGGCACGCGGCACGTGGTGTCCCGGCACGTGGTGTCCCGGCACGGGGCACGTGGCATATGGTGTCACGGTTCCACGGCATGCGGCGTCACGACACGCCACACGACACGTGGCACACGGCGTCACACGGCGTCACACGGCGTCGCACGGCGTCGCACGGCATCACACGGCGTCACACGGCGTCACACGGCGTCGCACGGCGTCGCACGGCGTCACACGGCGTCGCACGGCGTCGCACGGCGTCAGCCTCCCGCGGCAGCGGGGTCGTAGCAAAAGGGAAAATGTACCTTCCGTACCCTCCCTCGCAGAGCTCGATGGCGTTCAAGAGACCGATATTAAATTGCTAAATATTATACTCGCTGCCTTCAGTTTGTGGCTCGCGTCATTTTATATGACGACTACAATGAGCCAAGAATGTCTGTCTGTCTGTCCCGCGCGTGACGTCACTCCACGTCGGCCAGCCCCCCTCATTAATAATCATGAACAGGTTACGTACTCCACATGGACCCCCCCCTCTCATTAATAATCATGAACAGGTTACGTCACTCCACATCAAACAGCCCCCCCCATTAATAATCATGAGCGGGTGACGTCTTCCAAATGGCCACCCGCCCCCCCCCATTAATAATCATGAGCGGGTGACGTCACTCCACATGGGGGGGCGAGGCGCCTCCTCCCCCCTCCTCGGCGTCAACTCACAACCCTCACTACAAAGGCAGAACCCTCACGTCACGCGATCTCCGTGACGCTGTTGAGACATCAAAGTAAAAAGGACGTCATGATGAACAAGGGATTATAACCTTCAAATGAAATAAGTCTGTGTCACCGCGGCCTTACAAATTGCACAACGAATATCACGTCGAGGTCTGCTTTTCGCTTGCAAGTTTCAGATCTAATGAAATACACCCGTCCTTGAACGGGCAAAAGGCTAGTTAAATAATAATAATATCAGTTTGGTTGGGCACTGGAATGGTGTCCCCGGATGGCATGAGGACCAATGATGAGATTTTCAGTTTTAATTTCAATTTCCATTTCTTTATTGTGATTCTTCTTTTTAGCAGTATGTACGTTATTTGTCTCTGAACTGCTATTCTTAAATATGTTATTTGTTGGTTTTAATGTTAGGTTAGTAGTTTGTGCTGCTCTTCAGGTGCCTGGGTGAAAAGTGGGACAAGTTTTGCCCAATCCTAGCCAGCGAGCTCAACAAACTTAATCAACTCAAATAACAACAAGAAAGCAATAAATTAACTACGCACGTGGTCTATCATCCAGCACTGAAAGGGCCATACCTGTCAACACCTTATCAGTGCATACCTTATTTCAGACCAATTAAGACCTCATTGGTCACCCCGTGCTCCTTATAAATCTCAACGTTCATCCTACAAAGTCCCACCACAAGGGAGAAACACAAACAAAGACAAAAAAAACTTTTTTGCCCATATTGAAACGGCTGTATGCCGTATGGACCTGAAAACTCAATTGCCCTGTACAAGAATAGGGGCTAAACCGTGTGGGTGTGGAGGGTTGGTGGATCACAACACAGATGTTGTGAAACTCCCTTCCCGTGGGCATCAAGGAGGTGCCAATCCCTGGCTCGCCAGGTGGACGAGAGCGAGTGGACTGATCGCCACCTGTTCCCATCTGTACAGGGATAAAGCGTTGCCCCAATCGCGCAAGGCGGGGGCTTCGGTTTCATCCGACTTGAATAACAAACACTCGTTAATTTTAAATTAAATACCCAATGTAGCGACAGGACCCTCCTGAAAACGAGTCAAACGACTCGGTGTGGCTATCCTGGATGAATAAAGAAATGTGGTAAATATACCGGCACTGGCCAAGACATACTGGCACTACGTACGATAGCCCACGTTGGTTGAGGTCAATGGGCTCCACGATCCACCAGAAAGCTATGACTAACAATTACCGGATTTATCTACCCCTGTAACATACAGGGAAACCTTTGATTGCGAGTAACTTGGTCTGCGAGTGTTTTGCAAGACGAGCAAATTTTTAAAATAAAAAATAATTTGATTAACGAGCGATGTCTTGCAATACGAGCAGTATGTGTACAGGACACGCTTTGTCTTCCGAGCGTCACGTGATCACAACTGAGTCAATGGTTCTTCTCTCTCTCTCGCTGCGGGATTGTGGGTAATCATCTCCCATGCTCGGTCTCCGTCGGCGTGCCTCACTCGTATAGTCAACATCCGTGCGAGTGTATAGCGTTTACTATAGTACTATAGTGTTGTGACCACGTGTATACTGTTTACTATAGTACTATAGTGTTGTGACCACGTGTATACTGTTTACTACAGTACTATAGTGTTGTGACCACGTGTATACTGTTTACTATAGTACTATAGTGTTGTGACCACGTGTATACTGTTTACTACAGTACTATAGTGTTGTGACCACGTGTATACTGTTTACTATAGTACTATAGTGTTGTGACCACGTGTATACTGTTTACTATAGTGTTGTGACCATGTGTATACTGTTTACTACAGTACTATAGTGTTGTGACCAAGTGTATACTGTTTACTACAGTACTATAGTGTTGTGACCACGTGTATACTGTTTACTATAGTACTATAGTGTTGTGACCACGTGTATACTGTTTACTACAGTACTATAGTGTTGTGACCACGTGTATACTGTTTACTATAGTACTATAGTGTTGTGACCACGTGTATACTGTTTACTATAGTGCTATAGTGTTGTGACCACGTGTATACTGTTTACTACAGTACTATAGTGTTGTGACCAAGTGCATACTGTTTACTACAGTACTATAGTGTTGTGACCACGTGTATACTGTTTACTACAGTACTGTAGTGTTGTGACCACGTGTATACTGTTTACTACAGTACTGTAGTGTTGTGACCACGTGTATACTGTTTACTACAGTACTATAGTGTTGTGACCACGTGTGTGTGCGTAAAGCATTTTTTTAAATTTTGTGTCCAAGTGTAGTGACTGTTCTTTAGTAACTGTACTGCAAGTTAAAGTCGTCCTACACAATAACCCTCCTCCTCTCTCTCTCGTCTCCCTCACACCAGCCACAATTAAATGTAGTTAAAAAATGTGATTACTTTATATTAAATTTTAATAATAAAAATATAAAAAGGTATTTTGCATCAATCATTTTTATATGAATACAGTATTTTTGGGTTGTGGAACGAATCATCAGAGTTTCCATTATTCATTATGGGGAAATTCGCTTTGATATACGAGTGCTTTGGATTACGAGCACGTTTCCGGAACGAATTATGGTCGCAATCCAAGGTTCCACTGTGCTCGGGAATAGACAACGTACCAGCGCCATCTATTGGTAGAAATTATTATTCTAATACGGTGTATTCAGGCGTTAGGGTCGGGATCGAGCTCACGACTTCCTTTTTTGTATCGTTTGTTGTTGTACCTTTCTGACCCACCCCTACTGGACGTCTGTAAAAAAAAAAGAGCTTCACAGCTCATCGGATTCCTCCTCCTGCGCTACAAAGAACCCGACGCTATCCACCGACATATTCCGGCAGCTTTGGATATAAAGTGGCGAGATTTGGCGAGCTCACCGCGTCGTCTCCGAGGCATCAGAGAAGGGCCACGTGTGACCTTCTACGAGGTCGGGGAGACGGACACTGCCAAAGAGACGGCGGAACGGAAATCCGCCGAGAAGAGAGAGGTGCCCGCTTGGGGCCGCGCCTGTGGTGAGATGTTAACTCTCTCGCCTGGTATGCAGGAGGTCGTGGGTTCGATCCCGACCCTGATGCATGCTCGATCTAAGAATTGGTTTTAGCCTTTCTGGTGATAAAACAGGCGTTAGTTAAGGTGTTAAAACAACCAAACTGAAACCTTTTGCAAGGAATCATGTCTGCATTAACCACACACAGTACTTGTGGTGAACATGCAAACAAAAAAGATACTCCGGTAATATATGGCATTGAAACTGATTGGTCCACACCAGAGGCAGCTTTCTTTAGAGCCTGGTCTCAAACAGTGTTAGACCAGAGGACACAATAAAGGTCACATTATGCATGCTGTATAATTGAAATTTGCATGTTCTCCCCGTGGTCGCGTGGAATTTTCTCCGGGTGCTCCGGTTTTTCCCCTCCAAATTTAAGAATCAATGTCACGCATTTAGACGATAATATAATTTGTGATAGCCAGGTCGCTTCTGAGAAAGAGCTACATAGCTCGGGTGGGATTTAACCTGGTCAAATAAAAACACAGTTTAACAGTTCAAAGAGTTTTTTTGTGAGAGACGGGGGAGGGGGGGGGGGAGGGCCGTTGGCGTCGCGATGGCGCGCACCTCGCTGCTTGCCCGTGGAGAGGCAGCGGAAGCGGACCATGCGCATGTCGAGGCCCTCCTGCAGCCACACGCTCTCCATGACGCGCATCACCTGCAGCGTCAGCATGTCCTGCCGCAGGTCGTCGCCCGTCTGATCAAGCACGCACAAACGCACGCACGCACCCACGGAAGGGGACGCCAACGCTCGCTTACAGAGAGGCAGGGGAACGAGCATTCGTGCAAAGTGTGCACGTGCGCGCAAACTCAGCGTGTACGGCCCTAACGCACACTAAAATAGAAAGGACAAAGCCAAAGATCCCCCACTCCCCCCCACCAGTGCAGCCTCAACAGACTGTTGGGGCAAGTGCTGTTAGCGGGTAGCACTATGAAGGTCTGCACGGCACACCAAGGGGGAGGCTGGCCAGCACCACGCCCGGCCGCCTTTGTCTTCCCAGTGGCGATGTTTACTTCACACTGCATCAAGTACTGATTTTGAGGCCGAGTATACCTTGGGAAGGCCCAGGACCAGTTTAGATAACCGTCACTGAGCGGAGATAGAACCCGGGTCGCCAGGTTTTTAGCGTAGCGTGCTAACCCCTACACTACTGCAAGCACACAGCACACACAGCAACAAAAATGCTCGCTGACAAGGTCTTATTCTCTCTCGTTGAGGGGACAGGCGAAGTGACAGGCGAGCGAAGCCATGGGCTGCCCCCTCGTTCCCGGAGACAGAGCGCCCCCGTGCTGGCCGGCGAGAGCTCACCTTGAACATGACGCTGATGTCATCTCCGGGTGCATCTCGGTTCAGGAACTTTAGACACAGAGGCGTGGTGTTTGATGTGAAGTAACAGCAAGCCTACGCAAAAAACACAGGAAAAGACCCCCCCCCGTCCCCGTATAGCCTTTAACACACTGTTGGGGCAAGTGCTGCTTGCGAGTACCTATAAAGGAAGGCCAACACCACACGCCCGGCCGCCTTTATCTTATCACGGTGGAGATGTTTACACGCAGCACCAGGTACTCATTTAAGGCCGAGTCGACCTAAGAGAGGCCCTGGACCGGTTAAAACAGCACGCAGCCAAACCGCGATGACCAGAGGTGCGGGGGAAGGACAACAAAACTAAACACGAAAATCAATTCAAGCGAAATTCGTTTTCAATCCCAGATTTAAAAGTGCATATCTCCAATATCTTCCTAATACGGGTAGGAAGAGTGTTCAAGGTGGTCCCAGAAGCACTCCAAATTGTGTTTTTGTATTCTTTGTTGTTGTAAAGTTCTTACCCGCCCCGACTGGACATCTGTTAAAAAGAGCTTTACAGCTCATCAGATTCGTTCGTTCCTCAATCCGCTTGTCATGGTGAGGGTCGCGGCGGCTCATCGAATTCCTCCAGTATAAATAAATATTCCGATTCTGATTCTGCATCTAGAAGCGCGCAATGCGGCGACCGTCTTTCTTCGATGGTTCGCCAAAAGCCGCTGCTGCTGCTGCTGCCGAGGGTTACCGTAGTTCACGTGATGGTTTACGCTCCTTGACGAGATCAGCAAACTATTGTGGTTCATTTGTGGGCGAGCGCTGTGTGTGTAATAAGTGCAACCATATATGATGTATTCGCTCCGCAACCGGAATACCTTTGCCCAGGCTCACCTTTAAGTTGAGTCCCGTCAGCACCTGGCTGGGATTAAGCGGGAGGCGACATTCGCCCTCCCGCTCGAAGAACTTCTCCACGTCCGCCAGGCCCTCTCTCAGAGCGGCCTGCATACCCAGCAGCGCAGAGCACGGCAGTGGGTTTCAAACAGCGCTGCCAAACGGCGAAGAGGTGGGTGTAACCAACACTTTACCACCTCGCCACCTACGCACGACCTGCCAATCGACTGACCGTGGTTTTAGCCATTTGTACTGTTGAGTGGACAAAGACAGAGAAGGGTGAATTTACGAACTTTGCACCATTGATTCAACTGCCGCCCCGGGGGAGGGGAGGTGGGGGGGTGGCTTGCCAGTCTCGTGTGCCAAAACCTGGTAACCACCACCACACCCACCACCATTACCGCACCCATTACCAACAACAACAACAACATCCGCCATTCGTCACGAAGTGGCGGTGACAGTCACCCCGGGGGGACTGTGCCAGGCCAGGTGCACTTTGAGGTCACGTGAAGTGTCGAAGGCTCACTGCCAGGAGGTCATGGGACAGACCCAGGTGCCATGGGAGATGACTGGCAGATACACCAGCTGTGCCGCTTCCTGTGTCAACTTGCTGCATTTTAGCCGCCCGGCACTCCGCCCATTGTTGTGAGCATTGCTCCTCTGCCGTCCGCTGCTGTGGGAGGGCGACTGCCTCCAACTGACCAGTAGCATCCTTCACGAGCCTTATCCATCGAGGCCGATTTCGACACCACTGATACCAGTCATCGGTAAGTCCACGCAGCTCCACATCCTCTCGAACCAACATCGTTCCATGACTTCTCTAGCCCGTGCCGCTCTCTCATTTAGCACCCTCTATCCGGCCAAACAGAAGCTGCTTGGGCATGCGGTGGCTGGGCATGCGGGCTACATGACCCATGCGGACAACACCCACCAACGCCACCGCACCTACTACCACCACAGCACCCACCGCCAACCACAGCACCAACCGCCACCGCCACACCCACCTTGCGAGCGGCTCCGGGAGTGGCAGCGCGCACGCGCGTGGCCACGTGCGTGAGCTCGTGGACGAGGCGCGCCTGGTGCTCCAGCTGGGCGGAGAGGCGGCTCCCCACGCAGCTGAGCAGCGCGCCCAGCACCAGCTGGTAGCGCTCGCCGGCCTGCTCGTCGTCCAGGGTGTCCTTCAGCAGCCTGGCACCGGCAGAAGGGGCGCCGGCAGGGGCAGGTTAATGATTAAATCGCCCACCCATGTGGCGCGTGTGGTGCATGTGGTTGTTGCGGGGTCCCAGGTTGTGCCGCAGTGTTGCCCTCTCTGTCGCATCTGCACCTCCTCCCCCACCAATCACCCCCCCCGACAGTTCTACACTAACGTGCTGCAACGTTCTTGCAGAATCTACGGATCTTGCAAGGTTATTCAGAATAACACAGGGTGAAAGTATCATCGTCAAGCATCATCAGACAGGGTGAATCCACTGCTGGATGAAAGCCTCCCCCACAAGCCACCGTATAATCCACCCAGCACCTGTAAATGGGGCACTTTCCAATTGCTAATAGGCGATTGCATTCGGAACGTGATATGAATACGAAGCGTTGTTGTTGTTGTTGGCGGCGGTGGTGGTGGTGCGCTTGCTGAGCCGCCCACCAGTAGAGGTAGTGGGCGATGTTGACGCTGCTCATGGCTCTGGCGAGGAGGAACTGCACGAGAGCGCTGTCCAGGTGACACTCATGCTTCACGGCCTGCAGCAGCAAACAACAACAACACGCAGGGGTCGCCCCCGTGGTTTCACAGAGCGTTTGCAGAACTGCCGGATCAGCTCAAGAATTCCGGTCCCACTTGTGCCTCCCTGTAGAGTCAAACACCCGCTGTGGGCAGCCGGTGCCACACGCGCGTCGTGTTGGCACACGCGCGGTGTCTGCGCGGCGCCCGCAACGAGCGGTCACCACCCCTGCCCCCCCCTCCGCGTGCCCCCACCTGCAGCAGCTGCGGCAGGTAGTCTGCGAGTTCGTCGTCCGAGAGGTTCTCGATCCAGCTCACGGCGAGGCGGCGCACTTCCTGGTCCGGGAACCTGCGGGGGTGCGGTGAGGGCAAGCACAGCGAGCTTACCGGGGGCGGCACGACGCACGGGGGGGGAGAGGGGGGGGGGGGGCAGAACAATACGCGGGGGACACGATATGAATGGGTCAAGCGGAGTCGATCGAAGGCGAGCGCATTGTATCTGTCGCACGTGCGTATGTGTCGCGTTAGCGTGCGTGCGTTAGCGTGGGTGCGCGTCGCGAGCGTGGGCGTGTGTCCACATGGTATACGTCTGCGTGCACATGCTTGTGCGCCGCGTGTGCGGGTGCACCTGTCGCGTGCGTGTGTGTGCGCGCGTGCGCGTGTACGTAGTATACGCGTGTGTGCGCGTGTACGTAGTATACGCGTGTGTGTGCGTGTACGTGTCCGCGCCGTGCTGGTGCACCCAGGCCCCGTCACCCACGCACGTCGCGTGCAGCAGCTCGAGGGCGCGCACGGGAGACAGCGGCGGCCACGCGCGCAGCAGCGCGTACGTCCCGGGCAGCTGCGCGTGCGCCCAGCTGGGGCAGCCGGCCAGCACGAGGGGCAGGGCGCCGGGGGGGCAGTTCCCCAGGCACAGCGCGCGGAGGTCCCACAGCGCTCGCTTGTCATTGTCCGACAGGCTGGGGGGAAGGGGAGGGGGGTGGGGGTGAAGGAGGAGAGGAAGGGGAGTAAGATGAAGGATCATGGGGAGAAGGAAAGTAAGGAGGACAGAGTGAGGATAAAGACGGGAAGGATGAGGAAGAAACGGGGGGGGGGGGGAAGGGGGGGGCGAGGAAATGGAAGGAAGCAGAGGAGGGAGAAGAGCGGGACAGCGAGCGGGAGACAAAGGAGGAGGATGAAGAGCAGGAGGAGGTAAGGGAGGCGAGGAGACAGACGCCACAACACGACACCGACACATCATCACTGCACAAACCGCAGCGGCTCAGGAAGCGCCCGTTTGTGTTGGGTTTTTTTTCTTTCCGACTGCAGAAACAGAGCCGCGTCACGCACAACGGACAGACGCGCGGAAGACGCGGCGATACTATCCCTGACCCTGCTCGGCCACCCCGCTCTGGGTCAGATTAAGAGGTCTCGTTAGGCCACTGTATCGCGGTTTGGTTTCAGCTCAGGTTTCGCCAACAACGGCCAGTCGGAACACGACTAGGATATGCGCCAGAGGGAAAAATATGAAAAATATAATAAAAAAAGGTTTAACACGTAGGCTTTCGCGACCAATATTATTCGTAATAAAGGTGGGCTAAAGTAGTGAATTATTTGTCTTTTGTCAACGTGACACTTTTTTTGCTAATTGGCCGTGTCGGGTGGTGGAGGGTTACGACACATTTATAAATAACGCGATCTAACCCAAAAACCTTTATTATGAATAATAAAAAAAAGGGTTGCGTGGGGGCTCACTCGAATAGGAAGCGCTTGTCGAGGAGCGTGGAGAGTTTCTGCTGCGTGGCCTCATCCACCGCGTCAGGCCTCTGCGTCGGCGTGCAGGATTCCGGCTTGGGCGTCAGGAAGGTGACGTCAAAATTCGACTCGGGGAAATCGATCTGCAATGACCGAGAAAGATAGAGAGAGATGCTGCAACGTCAGTTAAAATCCTGACTCACTCACCCGCCCCCCACCCCCCGAACCCCCTCCATCATGCACGTACGGTGCCGTCGCGCCGAATTCGAATTCTCGCCGAGTTTCTGTTCCGCTCTAATGTCGATCGGCGGATTGTACCAGGCTTGCGTTGTTGTCGCAAAAAAAAAAAAATCCTGACTCGATGTTGTTGCTCTGTCACAGACCTGTGCCTTTGCAAATGACATTGGGTACAGGGCAGCTTGTTATTGGCTAAGGGTAGAATTACTTGTGGCTGACACACGGTTGTCATCTTTGCAAATGACCTCGGAACCGGCGGCTTGTTATCAGGCCAGGGGCAGAATTACTTGTTTCCCTTTCCGTGAGTTATCATCGCTTTGTGCCGCCACTCCAACCGCAAATTTAACAACAACAAAGTTTACCGTGCTCACATCATCGGAGCCCCCCCCCCCATCTCCATTGGCACTTTCCAAACGTCTAAAACATGCCGAGGGGAAGGTGACGAATGGACGGCCAGCTCAAAGGGACGCTCGCGCGTGGCGTACCGAAGTGAAAGGGGGGGGGGGCGGGGGGCGGCTTCACCTGCAGGATGACGTTGTCTTTGACGGTGGCAGCTATCCCTCCGCCTCCGATCCCGTTGGGGTTCACGGAGCATAGCTCCAGCAGCTTACTACCGCTTGCGAGGACACTAGCAAGGGGGGCCCGGGAGGGAGGGAGGGAGGGGAAACGAATTAACGCGTCGGCTTTCGCGACCGGCATTATCCATGATAAGGTTGTCAAAAGGGTTAGATCGCGTAAATATGAGCGTGCCGTTAAACCTGCCCACCACCACCACCACCACCCAACACAGCCAATTAGTGAGGTTTGTCGCGTAGACCGAACGTGCCGATTAGTTACTACTTCAGCACACCGGTGTATTGGAAAGTAAACCCACAGCATTCACAATTCGAGTACGACGTTTCGCTGGTGGTTACAACCAGCTTCGTCAGGCGATTGTTCCAGAATTGTGAAGTCCTCCTGTTTCGGGAGGGAGGGAGACGCGGGGCGGCTCACGCAGCACAAATTCGCGAAGTTCAGGTGCAAGTGGAACACGACCCGTTTAGGAGGCACGCCGATCCGAGGTTTGAACCATGCGGCTGCCCTCGTTAATACTCCGTGGGTGTATTACCCGTAATACTCTGAGGACGTTAAAGATCCCGTGACGCGAGTCTAAGATGAGTGGGCCATGTATGCCGACACCACGGTCCAAACGTTTCGAAATTGAAAGATTACCCAATAGACCTTGGGGAGAACCAGGTTATCTCCCCGCCCCTTACGACCGTATTCTCTGAATTATTAGACGCACGGGAAAGTGAGAATATAAACGACGGAGAGCCGTGTCCCAGAGAATGAATGTGAACGCGCCGCTTTAAATGGGGTGAGAGACGTCTTTTGGGAGACTAGTCCTGAACGGCTGGCGGTGTCGTCTGTCCTCTGAATGGTGGCAACGTATTGCCGTTAATGATTGCAACAATGCACAGCCCTATGTTGAAGCAACGAGATCGCAAAAATGACAGTACTCGCGAAAGTTGAAGAGCGGCATGCTGGCCCATCCTAGGACCTCCTCCTGCTGCTTGTAGCCGTCCTGCGAGGTGCCTGCTGGAAGCGCCATGACCCCGTACAGCTGCAGACGGAGGACTATCTCTCGGGGGGCACTGGCCACTGACAGCGGGTATTTGACTCTGCGGGAGGCACAAATGGGACCGGAAACTCCGAGCTGATCCGGCAGTTCTGCAGACACTTTCTGATCTACGGCTACAAAGCAAACGCGCATGCGATACGCCTCGTGTCTCGCCAAATAAAAAATAAAAATTGGAAGTATCTTGTTTGCGCATCCCATCAGCAACACGGGCTTCTAGAAGTGCATTTTTTTCAACAGCTTCATCAGCAGTCAGGCTTTGCTTGAAAACCAATGCTGAACTTGCCATATTTTTACTGGCAAGACATGGGTTTGAGTTTGATGCAAAAACATTTTTCAAGAAATACATAAAACAAAATAACCACGAGCTGTCAATGTGGAAAATATAAGTAACAAAATGTACCTACGGTACAAAAGAAGTTCAACATACATACATGTTTATAATCAACAGCTGCTACGGAGGCCTTGCTATCAGACGTAAGTGTGATCTCGAGGTAAAATCCTTCGAGAAAATCATTGTTAGCATGTGCCACCTTCGGTGGTGCCGATGACCCGTTTAATCCCCAGTGGGCTCAAGGGCTACGAATCGACGGGCCGTCGCGTCGCTCACGAGCCGCCAACCTTCACTCTCACGGCAGCTTCCACTCACATCTCGTTCCAGCGGATGTAGTGCGAGAAGCTCTTCTCGAGCAACACCTTCTGCGTCTTCCACGGCCGGCAGAGGGGCCTGCTGCCGTGGTTCAGCGTGCACACCATGTAGTAGCGCTCGTAGCTGGGGGCGCGACGGTGCATGGGTGGACAGTGAGAGAGAGACACACAAAAAGCGACAGTGCGATCAGAGGGTTGCATTGAAATAAACCTCGCAGGTTAACACATTCTCGCCGGGAGGTTCCAACACTCGGTGAGAGTTCCTGATCAACAGGAAAACAACTGTGAGCTATTCTCTGTCTCCGCACAGGCACTCCCCACTCTGGGTGCCTCAGTAAAGAATCCGTCCACTCTGGGTTGCGTGAGACTCTCTCGCTCGCCTACTGACGCTGGCATTACTAAACGAGGGACTTTTATCGAGCCGCCAGATCTTCTCCATAAACGGACGGTTTTTTTCCCCATCTGTCCCCCACCCTCAACCCTCTAAAGTCACTCCCACCTGACCCCAGGACCCCTGCCCGCGCTGACCCCTGACCTGCCGATCCAGGCGGGCGGCACTCGGTGCGCGGCGTAGAGCGAGAAGCGGAGCTGGTCGTCGGTGAGCGGGTAGGAATAGCGCGTGGGGCGACGCGCCTGCGCGTGCGTGCGGAACGCGGCGCCGTGCAGCTCGATCAGCTGGTGCAGCGACGCCGTCAGGGCCTCCAGCGGCGCGCGCAGGGAACCTGCTGCCGTCGCGTTCCGTCAGGAGGTCAAAGTTGGTTTGTGCGTTTGCGGACGCACCGCTCAAAATAACGAGCAGAGCGCCGGCTAAAACATAGCAAGTTTACACAGTAAGGGGGGGTGGTGGGGGGGGGGGCACAGATAGTGCATCGGGCCAGCCATCTCAGTCTGTGAAACCGTGGCACCTGGGTCTATCCCGTGACCCCCTGCCAGCGGCATTACTTGACCTGGCCTTAACAGTGCAAACAGTCTGGCGCAAGTGCCGTGGTGATATCACAGCGACTTAGTGGCGAATGGCGGTTGCTAGTGTTGTATGTTGAACTTTTTTCCGGACTGTACGAAGCCAACCGTGCAAATGAGAGGGGCGGGGGAAGGACGGCAAACCAAACACAATCCACTTTGATCACCAGCTGTGCCTGGCGTCAGTGGTAACAAAGCTTACTTCCACGCTTGGTGCAGAGGTTCGCAGTCGGAATCCGGCAGACCGCCGTGATTAATACTGCAGGTGTAATAACTATGATAATACAATGCGCAATCCGCTTTACAGCGGATGTAAAAAATCCTGGTGTGTCATTCGAAACCAGTCGGCCATTGCGTGTGCCAGCGTAACGGCAACAAATGTGCCAAATTTGAAAGGTTCCCGGGAGATTCACTCATTTGAGAATGCACGTCGCAAGTTTTCCCATAACAGACTTTTTGTTGGGTTAGATGGTGTCAATATAGGTGTGTCGTTAAACCCGTCCACCACCCGACACAGCCAATTGGTTAAGGTTTGTCACGTAAACATAACGCGCCCATGAGTTACTAGTCCTGCACACCGGTGTTTTGGGAGAGTAAACCCCAACACATTTCCAATTCGAGTACGACGCCTCGCCGGTAAATTCCATCCAGCCTCATCAGGCAGCATTCGGAATCGTGGAGAATTGCTCTTGTTTTCGTAGCAAGTTGCACCTGCGTGTTTTTTTTTTTTAAAGCGCTAGAAAGCGGGAACAAGAAAGGAGGAACACACCCGAGAGGGCGGCCACTGCAACCGTATGGAAGTGAGCCGAGGGCTCTCTAAGCACAGCGCCAGCCAGCAGGAACAAGACGAGCGGTGAAGTTGGGAATTGGAAAAACATCGAGAGACTCACAAATGCCCCACGATTGATCAGGAAGCAGGCCTGAGCCCCACTGGCTTTGGAAGGCACCCTGCACACGCAGACAAAGACAAAAAAAATCCCCCGTATAGCCTTAACGGACTGTTCGGGCAAGTGCTGTTAGCGAGCAGCACCGATGAAGGCCGGTACGGCGCACGAGGGGGTGGGTGGCCAGCATCACGCCCGGCCTCCTTTTCTCTCCCCAGTGGCAATGTTTACAGACCGTACCAGGTACTCATTTGAGGCTGAGTCGACCTCGGGGAGGTCCACCACCGGTTCAGATAATCGTCACTGGTGTTGGCCATGAGCGGGAATTGAACTTGGGTCGCCGGGTTCGTAAGGCCCACCGAGCTATATAGCTTTTTCAGAAGCAACCTGGCCACAAACGATAGCTCGACTAAGTTGATATGTATAGCAGTCAAATACTCTAAACGCGTGTTTCTAAATGTGGAGGGAAAAACCGGAGGACCGGAGAAAAATCTATGGGAGAACTCCAAATATACAGGCGTCAGGGTCAAGATCGAACCCAAGACATCCTGTATACCAGGCGAGTTAGTTAACATCTTGCCACCATGGCGCCACACACACACACATAGTTACATGCACACAAAGACGGCACACAAAGGCAAAAATGCCCCTCTAGCTCGCTGCGTAAAACGAGCCAGACGGCCTCTCTCGCTACCGGGCTGCGGAGACGCGATCACCTCTTGCTGGGGGGCGGCCGTGCCGAAGTGTCGCAGGGAAGACACGGCGTTGGTGACGGCCGGCGTCTCCACGCTCTCCAGCGCCAAGCACAGCGCCTTGGCGGCCTGGATGACGCGGTCCGTGCTCACGCCAATGCCCGATTGCTGGAGCCGGGGGCACAGCAACAGCAGCGAGCAATAGCGAGCAACGGCGTGAGTGAGCGCAGCAGGGTTGGCGGGGAACGCGGGCACAATGGGAACACACTCGCAGTGCTGCCCTCGACAGTGTGGACCAGAGGTCCCTTTGAAATCTATCTCAGAGGTAGCTCTGTGATATCCACTACTGTGCACCGCTCCGCGGCCATGCACACGAGCGAATAAAACAAAGATAAGCGGGTGAACTCGGCATTCAATCTGTAAAACTGCTCAGTGGTGACGTAGCTCAAGGGAGAGAAACAACTTTGTGACAGCCACTCACATGAGCGCTCCCTGCGTGGGTTCACGTTTTCCAAGAGATAAATGCGTCTCCACCTTCCACCCCCCTCCGCACAACGAACAGCGGTTACTTCAGAAGAATTATTTATATTGGAGGAATCCGATGAGCTATAAAGCTCTTTTTCACAAATATTCAGTCGGGGCAGGTAAGAACGTGACAACAACAAACAATACAAAAACACGATAGGAGTGCAAAGTATGATAAATGTAATCAAATCAAGGAAAACACATACAGATAAAACTAAACCACGCCCATCCTTTCCAGGCAAAGCCCACAGCGGTATTAACTTGCCTCGTGCAGCAGCAGCGTCTCCACCTCACTGTGATAGACATCCATGAGCATTGACAGCCCCTGCCTGCAAAACAAAATAAATCCACCCGCATCAACACGGAGAAACGCAAAGCAAAATTCAACCCTTGATGTTTCAATGGCATTCGGGTATGACTGCGTATGTGCGGTAGAGCAGGGGCGGAGCCACAGGGGGGGCTGGGGGGGGTTTAGCCCCCCCCTGAAATTTTGGGAAAGTCGGTAATCGGGATAACCGGATATCCGGCTGCTGCAAAATGCTGCAGGCTGCCACCTTGTGTGCTGCCCTGCAGGCTGCTTGAGCGGCAGCCTTTCGAACTTATCGAACTTATTAGCCACATCAGCGGCTCCGACCTATTAAAAAACTCCGCGTTCACATCCAATAAAATGTGTCTTATACATTTGTGACGCCCATTGGAAAACATACACTGGCTATCTCAAAATATTGAAGTCAGCCCCCCCAAAGTCAAAATCCTGGCTCCGCCCCTGCGGTAGCGTAACGGTTAGCGCGTTGCATTACGAACCTGGCCACCCGAGTTAGATTCCCGCTCACGGCCAGCATCAGTGACAATTATCTGAGCCGGTCCGGGGCCTCCCCTAGGTCGACTCAGCCTCAAATGAGTACCTGATGCGGCGTGTTAAACATCACCACTTAGGAGACAAAGGCGGCCGGGCATGGTGCTGACCACCCACCCCCTCGTGTGCTGTGCTGGCCTTCATAGGTGCTCGATGGGCGACGTTCAGAGGAAAACGGCAACCGTGAGAGTAGCGATAGAAGTGTGATCAGGAGGCGACTGACCGCCAGTGAGCGAGTAACTGGGAGTGTTGAACACAGCGTGGCGGATGACACCAAACAGTCAGTCTGATATCGACCGAGTCCTCAACATGGGCCGAGGAATCAACGGGTCAAGATGACGTGCAGAGAATCGCCACGATAGCAGCAACAGAAGAGTGATCAGGAGGTGACTGACCGCCAGCGAGTGAGCCGAGTGACGGGAGTGAAACAGTGAGCGCTGGATCACCAGTCAATCGGACTGCTTCACCCCGATTTCTATTGAGTGCAGTGAGGTAGGAATTGGGTGCTCCACCCAAGATTCGGCAATTTACTTGGTGAGCGAGCGCTTCTGTGGACACTCGTGCAGTTCTTGGTCAATACGCAAGACGGTTGGGCGAGCATCATCCTCTTCCTACAGCGGAGGAGGGGAGAGACACACCGTCAGTATTGCCAAACATCATCACCATCCACACCACCACCACCCGCACCATCAACGTCACTTGCGTATCACTCTTGTATATCGCTACTCCCGTGGTTACTGTTCCCGTGAATATCACTCGCTGGTTCTCCATCCACGTTGAGGAATCGGTCAACCGGACTGTTTCATCTAACCCGTACGATGTTCAGCTGCAACATTGCAGATAACAACTCACTCACTCAACCACCCACCCATCAGTCACCCGCTCACTCACTCACCATCTCACCACCACACCGCAGGTCACAACACTTTTCCTTCTGCTTCTTCCCTCACACTGCTCCACTTTGGAATTCCCTCCCCATCATCGTCTCCTTTCCGAAGCTCTCATGAAAACCTCGCTCCAGTTTAAAAAACTGTGTCAACTCATCGTATGCATGACAACGTAAACAGCACCGTTCGTTGCTCGCCGCGTGGCATTTGCGGCCTGTGTACACCGACAGGGACGATATTTATCAGACTATGTTATAAAAAAAAGTTTTACCGGCTGGCTGGCTGGCTCACTGGCTTTTAGTGACATCACCATGCACATCTGCGTGATAACATCACCCGAATCGCACAGCGCCAAGCCGGGTTCGTGCGTCGCGCTGACATCACGCCTCCCTAACCCCCCTCCCCCAACCCCCGGACACATCACTTGCGCAAATACACGGGCTGGCGGTGGCGATGCTGTAGCCCACCACCGCGCGTGCTGCGATTCCTGCGGGTGCTGCGCAAAAACTTCCCGTGCTGTGCTTTCTGCGCACGCTGCGCTACTCACGGTGCGAGCCAGCCCCTGCCTGAGAGCGCTGCGCCGCGCCAGCTTCAGCCGCACGTCCAGATCGAAGCGCCGGCAGTGCTGGATGTAGCTGTGGCTGCCAAACTGTCGATCGCTGCAAACGCACACGCACGCACGCGCGCGGGCCCACGCACCACACCGCACCGCACCGAGCACGCCGCGGCCTGTCAACGCCGTCTTGTGCGCGGTGCCGCGCTCTGCGTCGAATGGGGAAACGTTCCTGAGATTCATAATAAAGGTTTTTGGGTTAGATCGCGTTATTTATAAATGTGTCGTAACCCTCCACCACCCGACACGGCCAATCAGCAAAAAAAGTGTCACGTTGACAAAAGACAAAAATAGTTCACTACTTTAGCCCACACCGGTGTGTTGAAGAGTGAATCCACAACATTTACAGTTTGAGTACTGTGACGTTTCACTGGTAATTACATCCAGCATCATCGGGCAATTCGCCAGAATGGTAAAGCCCTCACTTGCTCCCGGTCTTAAATAGAGCAGCAGGGTGACGTCATCATTTAACTCATTCCTGATATTGGCTGCGCCACCGTTGATGGCCGCTCTGACAGCCACGATGTCCCCCGACCACCCATCCCCCTGCCCTACCACCCTCCCCAGGCAACTGGACTTGGTTCCCTCTCTCTCCGCTTTCAAAGTCTCTCGTAAAAAATTTCCCTCTTCAACCCCAGTGCCCTCACACCCCTATCATGGCCTCCTTTCCCTCCGTCACTTCAGTAGGTGAGTGGGTGAGCGATTGGGTGAGCGGGTTGATGGGCGAGTGAGTGGGGCGTTGGTGAGTGAATGACTGGATGGATGGGCGAGAGGTGAGCCGGCACAAATAATTGCCCAAGAGCCGTGCGGTCCTCTATATTCGAAGATTCTTTCAATCAATGAGTGTTTACAGGCGAGAGTGAACCAGAGTGCCCAGTGAAAACCCATGCAAGCGAGGGTGGGGGGGGGGGAAACACTCGATCCTGTACAAATGCAACAGGTGGAGTCCACCATTTGCTGTACCACCTTGTCCTGGCGAGCCAGCGTACGGCACCTCCTCAATATTTGCGCGATGATCCACCATCCGCTCACCTCCAACAGGCGTGCGCCACCACCGCCCAGCTAATGACCGCGAGTTTGCCTAGTTGGCAGAACTGCCCTTTAATCAACTTTCATGGCACCACGTGGCAAAACGAGCTGCCATTGCGTCCGTCTACATAAGCCAAGCATCACCTCTGCAAGACCTCGTCCAGCCCGTGCACCTTGAGGAGGTAATCGGTCACGTCCACTTGTGAGAAGTCCGGGTGCAGGAAGCACAAGATCTGAATCAGCAGCAGCTCAACTGGGGACTGGGCTGCACACACACACACGTAAAAAAGACAAATATCCCCCATAGAGCCTTCAACAGTCTGTTGGGGCAAGTTCACGGGAAAGGATCGCTTCTCCAGTGCTGATGTTTACACACTGTACCAGGTATTTATTTTCAGCCGAGTCGACCGAGGGGATGAGCAGAACTGGTCAAGATATTCACCAAAGATATGGGTGGTGGGGGGGGGAGGGTGGTGGAATTAACTGGAACAGGGGCAGGGCTATGCTATAGAGGGCATTGCCAGACAATTTAGCCATGCCCAGACACGTCCTTGTAGCAAAAACGCTTGCTCAGAAGTGGACAAAGAAGTTGAAGGTGAAAATTGAGTTGCGTGATTTTCAGAAGCAATTCAGTTGCGCAACTGATCGCTCACGCGTGGACTTGGCTTCACACTCGCAGGTGAAGATGATGAGCTCCAGCCCTCCGTGACCACACTCCGGTCACACAGCCTCACTCACCCCCAGCCACAGTCTCACTCACCCCCAGCCACACAGTCTCACTCACCCCCAGCCGCACAGTCTCACTCACCCCCAGCCGCACAGTCTCATTCACCCCCAGCCACACAGGCTCACTCACCCCCAGCCACACAGTCTCACTCACCCCCAGCCAAACAGTCTCACTCACCCCCAGCCACACAGTCTCACTCACCACCAGGCACACAGCCTCACTCACCCCCAGCCACACAGTCTCACTCACCCCCAGCCACACAGTCTCACTCACACCCAGCCACACAGTCCCACTCACCCCCAGCCACACAGTCTCACTCACCCCCAGCCACACAGCCTCATTCACCCCCAGCCACACAGACTCACTCACCCCCAGCCACACAGTCTCACTCACACCCAGCCACACAGTCTCACTCACCCCCAGCCGCACAGTCTCACTCACCCCCAGCCACACAGTCTCACTCACCCCCAGCCACACAGTCTCACTCACCCCCAGCCGCACAGTCTCACTCACCCCCTGCCACACAGTCTCACTCACCCTCAGCCACACAGCCTCATTCACCCCCAAGCCACACAGTCTCACTCACCCCCTGCCACACAGTCTCACTCACCCCCTGCCACACAGTCTCACTCACCCCCAGCCACACATCCTCACTCACCCCCAGCCACACGGCCTCACTCACACTCGCAGGTGAAGGTGATGGGCTCGGGATGAGCGTTGTCCAACTCCACCAGCACCTTGAGCATGACGCTGCACACCTCGGTGAAGGTGTACACGGGGCTGCGCAGGATCCCCGAGTTCGAACTCCAGTCGCTGTGGCTGAATCGCTCTCGCAGCCTGCAAAGGCAAACACAGACAAAAGTCTCCACCCCTACCGTATAGCCTTTAACACACAGTTGTGGCAAGTGCCGTTTGCGGACGTCTATTCAGGCTGGCATGTCACTCGAGGGGAGGGGTGGCAAGCACCACCTCGCCTGGTATACAGAAGGTCGTGGGGTCAATCCAGACCCGCACGCCTGCTGCATATTTGGAGTTTGTGTGTGTCTCTCTCTCTCCGTGGTCGCGTGGATTCTTCTCCGGGACCGATGGTTTTTCCATCCACATTTAGAGTATTTGGCTGCTATACATTGTGGCCAGGCTGCTTCTGAAATAAAGCTGTATAGCTCAGTGGGCCTTGCCTGGTAAAATAAAAAAAAATAGATTTGTTTGTCTTCGCTATGCTGATGTTTACACACAGCACCAGGTGCTCATTTAAGGTTGAAACGACCTACGTTCCGATATCACCCGGCGCTAATTTTATCCATGGCCAGGAATCAAACCGTCGCTTCATTGGGTTGGCAGTGCAGTGCGCCGAATCAAGATGACGGCAACACGCAGCAAGTTAAGCACCGCCCCCTAAACTGCGTTGTCTCCAAAACAAAGAAGGGAACCTCACCCTGTGACCATGCGAGAAAATTCCACTTCCTCTTCATTTCCCTCTGTCGAGACTTCAAAGAGGCTCTCCGACTGCACCGTTGTCCTGTGGCTTGAGCTCTGCACACAAAACGCCACCACCCCACCACACCCACCGCCACCAGCACCACAACCACCACCACATCCACAACCACCAGCACCGGTGCCACCAGCACCGGCGCCACCACACCCACCACCATCACCACCACGCCCAGCACCACCACCACGACCCACCACCACCACACCCACCACCACCGATCCAAAAGTCGGAAATAAAAGATCTGAAATTGTCGTTTAAATATTACATTTCCCCTTTGACAAGGACAATCTGGGTTTCATAAACTCATTTAGAATACTGAAGTCATTTAGAATACTGTGTAATACAAAGTTTAGAAATATTTAAAATGTAACAATTCTAGACTTAATGTGACAATAAATCAAATATATGTTCTGCTCCAATAAACAATGAGGCAGTGGTTCTCTCTTATTTACAGCCCTGAGCCAGTGGTGGAAATTCCACGATCCTGTGTGTGGCGAGTCTATCCATAGGACAACCACCGCTGCCTACCCCACAACGTGATACTTATTTTATCGACCCTGCAGGGATGATAGGTTGAGCCAACCCGCATCAACCAGGATGTGAATTCGCAACCTTCCGACTGAGAGTCGCTCGCTCTGCCGATGAGCCACCTGGCTGGTTACCAATCACTGCCCGCCACAAGTACCCACAATGCCTTGCAGAGGTTTTGCTAGGAGGAATCAATTGAGAAGCCGAGACAATCAGTCGATTAAGTCGACTATCCTGCTACTATTTAGTGATCGGTTACTTTTCCCCATTTAAAAATAGTGGCCACACCCACATATTGAGTTATGTCAGTCAACAAACACTCCACAGAGCCCATGTGCACATAACTTTTGTGGTTTAAGTAATTTCTGTTTGAAAAGTATTTTTCGCGGGGCATTATTATCCATAGCAGGCCACCTGCTGTTAAGTGGAGAGTAAAGGCCATGTGATGTAATTTAGCAGTGTTGGCCACTGTGTGAAGATCATCATCATCAACCATGGTCAATCCACTGCTGGATGATGGCCTTCTCGGCAAGCCGCCGCCACCTCTCACGCTCAACCAATATAATAATCCACTCAGCGCACCTGCCCGTGAACAGATTTCTCGTGTTCGGCCGATATACTTTTCTAAATTACAGAGCATATGCGTTACACAAGACAGGCCGTGCCTAACTAAATCACCCGTGGCAACCGAGTTCCCCTGTTGCACGACACAAACAACATCGGCGGCTTTCTCGCCCGACTGTATCAAAGGTCTCAAGTTCGATCGAATGAATCACCGAAATGGTGAGGTCAGATTAAGAGAAGCCACTTTACGTAGCACGTACTGTAACCAGGGCACGGGCGAAGGTGCTAACCGCTCGCCGCTTGCCAGCAAGACTCGGCACGCCACGTCAGAAACAAAAAAAACCCTCCCAGCCTCATTCCTCTTCTGTCCGATTCACCCACGCCTTGCGGTGTGACAGAGGACACACGTGCACTCCCTGACGCACGTGGCCACGTGAACACACACATACACACTAGCACAGTGTATCTCGACCATTCTGCATGCCTGCATGCGTGCACTAATCCATGTGTTCCTCTTTCCGCCCCTCAACGCTATTCCAAGCGCACATCTCTCCATGCTTTTTGGGCACCCTGAATGCTTTCTTCTTTAGGCACATTGCTACGTTGCTGTTCATTCATAAGTTTATGGATGTATGTAGAACTTCTTTTGCACCGTATGTAGCCAACCGTGCTAATCAGAGGTGCGGGCAAGGACAACAAAATAGACAATAATCAGTTCTTAAGGAATGACATTTGAATCTAGCTTTCTGAAAGCACTCTGACGTCCACCAGTTCACGTTTTTCTCATTTGCAGCGTTATATTTTTTGGTCTGCCCATCAACAAACATTATTCAATGCATGTTTCGTGAGCTTAGGAAATTAGATATGGTGGCCGCTGTACCTCCTACGTGCTGGCTATGAGCACTCGCTCCCAACAGTCTAAATGAGAGACTCATACCCATACATTGCCTGGGGGATATCCCAGTGCCCGTAATTTTGGGGGAAAGATCCAGCGTGTATTTACTTCACACTTTGAATTCTACTGTACTGAATGTCTGTGCAATGTGGGATATTGCTCATTCTCTCTTTGACATGGCATTGGGAGGCCTTCAACCAGCAGTGGACTGAGCATGGACTTTAAATGAGGATGAGCATTTCATGTTGGGAAGAGAAATGCCACGTTCCCGTGGAGGAGACAATTATGTCCAGAGAAGACAGATTGTGAATTTCTCACCACGTGGTACGTTATTTTATGGACCTGAATATATGATGGGCTGAGGAAACCGCCTACCAGGATTTGAACACCCAACCTTACAATTGTGAGAGCCAGATATATCAACCAGCCTGAACCGCTTCACATAATACAAGGTGCACTATACAATGTATATATATAACTAAAATTTAAAAAAAACTCCACTGTATTTACTCAGGATTTGCATTGAGACAGAGGAAACCAAGAATAAAAGAACACAGGTTAGTGGCATCATTGAAACTATTGCAAACGGTGAGCTTCGGCAGGCCACGTCGTTCGATTTGGGACGATAACTCATGGGTCAAGAATAATAATGGCGTGCCAGCCGAGGAATGGGACGCATCCAAAAGGACGTTCCAATCGAGGAGGCGGAGAGGTGAAATCAGTCCCTGTTCAGCTCGAGGTGGATTATTGCCATCACAGGGTCGTAAAAAGGTGGCGGAGGCGGCTTCGGGAGGCCTCCATTCGGCAGTGCATGGGCCACGGCTGATGATGAATCTGATGGTTTACCCGGGAAAACTTTACTGAGGTTATTTGTTTTCTGGGCGTGCATTTGCTAATCAGTGGATCGCTAATTACTCTACTGGCAGACGAATGCCCCGGGTCTGTCTTGCGAAATGAGACTCCATCTCTTGAATTTTCACCTGGTCAAACAAAATAAACGTTTAAACTATCAATGCGTGTTTTATTTCAGTCTTATCTCTCAGAATGTGTGGGATTTCTCTGCTGAGCCCAGCTGAACCTCCCACACGCAATAAAACATTAAGCGAGAAATTTGCCAAACATTCCGAGGTGGACTGAAAAAGTTTGCAGACTCTACGAATCTTGGACAGGTATTTGGAATAACACAGGGTGTCCTTAAAGGTATCATCCTCACTAGCCAAGGTCAATCCTCTGCTGGATGTAGGCCCACCTACGCTGCGTCAGTCATCGGGATCGTTTGACCATACTTCACCACGCTGGTTCGTTTCGGTTCGTGAAGGGCGAAGCCCAGAACCTTTTCCGATGTAATTCACCAATGATGTTAGCCTTGGCGCCTGGAATCAAACTCGGGTGCCCGAGTTCATAGCACAGTGCACAACTCACCGTTCCATCGCTCTGCCTTATAGCGATAATGAGCAAACTCCAACTTTGCACAAACATTTAATGTCATGCATTGCCAAGCGTTTTAAATTCATGCCTAACCTTTCCCCCATTAACGCAGGAACTAAGATATCCCTAGGTAATGTAGAGAGAGCCTTGTATCTAGACTGTTGGGGGAGAGTCCCCACTGATGATCAGGCGATGTAATAATCCAACCAGCTCGAACACACAAACAGTCCAAAGCTCGTCTGAGCATGGGGCACTTTGACATTTTCCCCGTTGCGGAGATGCCATTGAACTCAGATGCTCGACCAATACAAGTTGTATTGTGTTGCATTAATCAGCGGTGGCCGAAAGCTGGCTTTGAGCCCAGGATCTCAGCCGTGTCAGCCCAGTGTCTCTGACCACACAGCGGCCTCTAAGCCACTCCGTGGCCGAGTTAGAAGAATGGGGATTGTCCCGCACGGGGATAATTAACAAGAGAAAAGGTTGGGCTCCACTCGGGCAGGTGGCAATGCTGGGTTTCCGATGGTGAACAGTGTTGGAAACTGCCTCACCACTGTGCGTTAAGAGTTACTGTGACAACAAATAGACAAGAACGTTTGTGTTGTTGTGCTTGCACCATCCTTCAAGCAACCGCACCGACTCACCTTGTGAGTGGATGCCGGCATATCCGAGTGCCTCCGCTTCGTGACGTCTTCACCGGTCCACGACGTGCCGTTGGGAACCTCCATTGACTGACTCCGCCACTCCAGCTTTTTCACCACCTTCTGGGCGAACGGCAGGATTTTCAAGCCGTCCAACTCGTCCACAGCTTCGGCGTCTCCCGCAACGTCGCCGCCGACATCGACGCCACTGCTGCAGCCAGCGCCACCACCGCAGCCACCGGCAACACCACCAAAGCCACCGCCAAAGCCAGCACCACCGCCACCACCGACCGCGCCGCTCCCCGCGTCACTCACCGTCACGGCTCTCGCTCCGTCCACGCACGGAGGTTCCAGGAGGTTGGGGGAGGGGGTCCGGAACGACGGGGGGGTGTAATATGCATCCTCCTCTGCCTCGTTCGACTCCGTGCCGCCCATCACGGAGAGAGCCTGCATCCGCATGTTCAGCGAGTCGAGGTCGACCATCTCGAAGTCGATCTCGTCGTCCTCATCGTCCGAGGAAAACGAGGCCTTGGGCGTCCGCTCTCCGCTGCCGCTTCTGCCGCCGCCGCCCGTGGCGACCTCCGAACCCTCCGCGTCGTGCGTGCGGTCGCCGCCCGGTGTCCCCACGCAGCTTTGGAAGGAGTCGCCTTCTCCTGCTCCCTCTGCTGCTCCCTGACCGTGCGCTCCGGGCGCGAGGGCGACGGTCGCGCTGCACTCGCCGGTTAAATTCTCCTCCTTGGTTTTGCGGCAGTGCCTGGGGCTCGGCGTGGGTGCCACGACTATCAGCGGCTCTGTGCGGTAATAACTCAACGGGCAGCTCGCGAACGAAGGGTCGCAGGCCTCCGATGGACCGGCAGAATCGGTACACGTCCAGCCAATTGGGAGCAGCGGCGGCGGCGGTTGATGCTGCTGCTGCTGCTGCTGCTCCGGTGATGTTTCAATATCGCACAGCAGCTCCTGCTGCTGCTGCTGCTGTTGCTGGGACTTTAAAACGGACGCCATGAATATATCCGCGGCGGTGGAATTTCCCATCCGCTCTGGCGAGGGAGGCTGCCTCAGAACGTAGGAATTCCAAAAGCTCCCGTCGGGATTCGTCGCCTCCGCCTGCCCGAAGCTGTCGCTCGCGTCCACGAACATTAACGAGTCGTCCCAGCACGACGAGTCATCGCAGGCGGCGGCCGCGTTCGCACGTGACGCGGCGAGGGTCGACCTGGGGGCCGGGACGGGCCTGACCATGGCAGGCGGCAGGCCTGAACTGGACGGCTCGACTCTGCCGATGTCTCCAGCACAAAGCTCCTCTTGTGGCCTTGCGAGTTCATCGCCCCGCTCTCTTGAAGGAGTCTCCTCCCGTTCGTGTAGTTTCGACGCTGTTGTTTGCGAGCTGTCCTCGTCTCCCGGGGTCGATGGTCTCGCCGCTTTTGACTGCGCACCGGGTGAGGGCGAGGACTGTTTCACGCAGGATGGGGGGGGCGGCCGTGGGGGTCTAACCCTTGGGGGACTTCCTCCCCCCTTACTCGCATCTGCCATGCTGCTGTTGTGCGTTTGCTTTTTTTTCTTTTTACTGGCGTTTTTGGCAAATTGAAATAGAGTGCGTAAAATTACATTCGGAGCATTTTGCGTGTTTTCGCCACATTCACGCTGCCGCCATCATGGTAATATCCAAGCCTTTGCGATTTAGCGGCACCTGAGAAAGAAAGGAAGTATAAATAATTACTGAACCGTACGTACAGTTTTAGCATTTGCCAAGAAGCGCCGTAACGATTCCACTCGCTGCTATCGAAGTTGGATCACACGCTGGCCACATTCATCCCCTGCCGGGGCCGTGGAGGAGCACACCTGTAATCCAGCACTGTGGAGGCGACGGTTGCCGGATCACATAAATGTTGTGAAACTCTCTAACCATGGGCTTCGAGGTGCTATATACCCTGGCTTTCAAGGAGGATGCGGTAAAGCAATGTGCCGACTAATATCATGTCCCTTCAGTATGGAATACAGCGCTGCCTCCCCCCCCTCACACACGTGAGTTTTCGCCAGATGCTCTAATTTCACTCCACTCAATCAGAAAAAAACATCTCAATATACAGAGGACTGCAGAGCTTGGGCAATTGTTGCGGCCGGTTCACCACCTGGCTGCTGACTTCCAGCTCGTCTGTGGTTCCTGAGAGATGGAGGAGATGCAATTGGGATTAATAAAGCTATATGTATATAGCCAACACATTTGTATGAATTATTATGACTATTATTCCAATAAACCCCTGCTAATAGCGGAATAACGTCCCTATCAGGGCAATGGAAGAGGGTGATGACACCACAAAACGACTTCTGGTGTCTCCCTGATGAATTTCGTAGCAAGCCACCATGTGACAGTGTTTTCGAGGGAGCTCTATGCCCTGAGCTTGTCACCTTACAGTGAGGGAAAAAAGTATTTGATCCCCTGCTGATTTTGTATGTTTGCTCACTGACAAAGAAATGATCAGTCTATCATTTTAATGGTAGGTGTATTTGAACAGTGAGAGACAGAATAACAACAAAATCCAGAAAAACGCATGTCAAAAATGTTATAAATTGCTTTGCATTTTAATGAGGGAAATAAGTATTTAACCCCTCTGCAAAACATGACTTAGTACTTGGTGGCAAAACCCTTGTTGGCAATCACAGAGGTCAGACGTCTCTTGTAGTTGGCCACCAGGTTTGCACACATCTCAGGAGGGATACCCACTCCTCTTTGCAGATCTTCTCCAAGTCATTAAGGTTTCGAGGCTGACGTTTGGCAACTCGAACCTTCAGCTCCCTCCACAGATTTTCTATGGGATTAAGGTCTGGAGACTGGCTAGGCCACTCCAGGACCTTAATGTGCTTCTTCTTGAGCCACTCCTTTGTACATGGCCCCGTCCATCGTCCCTTTGATGCGGTGAAGTTGTCCTGTCCCCTTAGCAGAAAAACACCCCCAAAGCATAATGTTTCCACCTCCATGTTTGATGGTGGGGATGGTGTTCTTGGGGTCATAGGCAGCATTCCTCCTCCTCCAAACACGGCGAGTTGAGTTGATGCCAAAGAGCTCAATTTTGGTCTCATCTGACCACAACACTTTCTCCCAGTTGTCCTCTGAATCATTCAGATGTTAATTGGAAAACTTCAGACGGGCATGTATATGTGCTTTCTTGAGCAGGGGGACCTTGCGAGCGCTGCAGGATTTCAGTCCTTCACGGCGTAGTGTGTTACCAATTAAATTTTGATTTAAAGCTTTCGTGACTGCAGTAATTCATATTCTTAGCTCTTTCGGAAAAGTCCTTTCAACTTAACTTTACTGAAAGAGCTAAGAATGTGTTACCAATTGTTTTCTTGGTGACTATGGTCCCAGCTGCCTTGAGATCATTGACAAGATCCTCCCGTGTAGTTCTGGGCTGATTCCTCACCATCCTCATGATCATTGCAACTCCACGAGGTGAGATCTTGCATGGAGCCCCAGGCCGAGGGAGACTGACAGTTCTTTTGTGTTTCTTCCATTTGCGAATAATCGCACCAACTCTTGTCACCTTCTCACCAAGCTGCTTGGCAATGGTCTTGTAGCCCATTCCAGCCTTGTGTAGGTCTACAATCTTGTCCCCGACATCCTTGGAGAGCTCTTTAGTCTTGGCCATGGTGGAGAGTTTGGAATCTGATTGATTGCTTCTGTGGACAGGTGTCTTTTATACTGGTAACAAGATGAGATTAGGAGCACTCCCTTTAAGAGTATGCTCCTAATCTCAGCTCGTTACCTGTATAAAAGACACCTGGGTGCCAGATATCTTTCTGATTGAGAGGGGGTCAAATACTTATTTCCCTCATTAAAAAGCAAATCAATTTATAACATTTTTGACATGCGTTTTTCTGGATTTTGTTGTTGTTATTCTGTCTCTCACTGTTCAAATAAACCTACCATTAAAATTATAGACTGATCATTTATTTGTCAGTGGGCAAACGTACAAAATCAGCAGGGGATCCAATACTTTTTTTTCCCTCACTGTATATAGGTTCATCAGGGATGGACAAAAGCGAAAGGCGTGCGGCAACGATCGTCAGGATCACGAAATTTAGAAAAAGCAGACGATACAATTGTAGTGGATCTTATATTGTACGATATATCGCAGTATCGCTGAATCGTACAAAGATCCCCCCCAGAGCCTTTTGACAGGCTGTTGGGACCAGGGCTGTTAGCGAGCAGCACCTATGAAGGCCAGCACGACACACAAACGGGGTGGGTGGCCAGCACCACGCCCGGCCCCCGCCTGTGTCTCCCCAGTGCCGACTGTTTTTACACACCACACCAGGTACCAATTTTAAGGCTGAATCGACCTGGCGATACAAAAACACACACACACATTCATCATCATCATGGTCATTCCAACTGCCGAATGAATGGCTTCCCAAGCCGCCACCACCACTCACGATAATAACAATAATCCACCTAGCACCCGCACACGGACCGATTTAATCACTCCATCTCCTTGGTGAACGTGTCTCGGGACGCGTTCCACATTTCGCACGCGAAACCACACAGAACATGCCTGGTTCTCCTTTTCACGTCATACCGTGTGGGGCGACTGTTGTTTGCCAGCCATGTGTAGTCATTAACACAAACCTTTGCTCCGAGCTATGCAGTACTGTAGATAGCGGACGGTGTAAATGGTTAGCGAAATGGACTCGCAATGCAGAGGGTCACTGGTTCGATCTCCCGCCGAGGGCAGTTGAAACAAGGGAAAAGTTTCTTAAATTCCCTGCCACCCTTTAAACTGCCTCTGTCCACCAGCAATGTAGATTGGTACACAGCAGTTAGTCGACTGGGAGGTGGTATGTGGTGGGGTAAAGTGTGGGGGAGTAGCTACACCAGGCAATCGACGAACTGTGGTGTGTTGCATGGGATTAATTGTGGGGGGACTACCCACAATGGGCATCGTGGTGGCTACGAGATGTTAACTCCCTCGCCTAGTACGCAGGATGTCGTGGGTTCGATCCCGGTGCTGACACCTGCTGTATATTTGGAGTTTGCATCTTCTCCTCGTGGCCGCGTGGATTTTTTCTCCGGGTCCTCCGGTTTTTCCCTGCACATTTAGACTCAGCATCACACGTTTTAGAGTGTGCGGCTGTTCATACATTTCTATCATTGGTGGCGAGGTCGCTCCTGAAATAGAGCTAAGTGGCTCAGTGGGCCTTACATGGTAAAAAAAAAAAAGAAAATAGAAAATCTTTCATATTCTTAGCTCTTTCGGTAAGGTCACGTTGAAGGGAAACAGTAACAATCTAGTGTACCACCATCGCACACCAAACGCCACCTGCCAAATCCGCTAAATATATCGTTGGAGTGGTCCCACACACACTCGACCCCAGCACCACGCTCCCCACTCTGCATGCTTCCCGGCTTGTGTGGAAGAGTAGGCCAAGCGCCCTCAAGGCTTCTCCCTCGAGTGGAGGGTGCCGCCCATCCCTGGATTTGCGAGTGCAGCCTGCGAGCCATGTTGACAACCACAGAAAAAAACGAAATCGTTCCTCCCAACGACGCCGTCTACAACAACAACAAATCATTCACGCGCCTCACATCCCGCGCACATTAATCAATACCGTCGCAAGACAACCGTTTGCGATATTTAAAAAAACAATCATCGCAATAATACATTGTTACAGGGGAGACAGGCAGGCAGCACACACACACACACCTATCCCACCCCCCCACACCACCTCCTAACGCCAAGAGGTCTGCAACAAACAGCACGATTAAAGTTGCGTGGCTAAAACAAGCCACGACTGCACCGGCAATTGGTTTGCAACAAGCACAATTAACAGCAGCAAACACAACTCAACGCATCACGTCAATAACACCGCGGTGGTCTCGAGAGAGAGAGAGAAACATGAGTGTATAATATAGGCGACGTTTCGGGCAACGACCCTGACTCACAGCACACACGCAGACACACACACAAATATTACAGTCGGCAAAAGCGACTTGCGAGTTGGGTAGCGGTGCCGGAAAAGAAAAAAAATCAACAACTCAACAAGTTACGCCAATAACAACGGCTTTAAAGGCATATATAAGAGCGACGTTTCGGGCAATGACCCTTAATTCAGAGTACATTCGTAACAAACAAAAACACCACACTGCTCTTGTGCGTAGGTAGGCCAAGATAGACGCTGGAGCGAACAAAAGCCTACCCCTGACTATCAAGCTATTCAAAACTATAAACGAAGAAGGGCCATTGCCCGAAACGTCGCCTGGCACCGGGTCATCAGACGCACCGAGACCCGAGCAGCAGCAGCAGGATGATGAGGGTGGTTGGTGGTGGCGATTTCCGTGGGGTTTTTTCACTCTTCGTCGACTTTGGCGCACATAAGTAAACAAAACACGACGTTTATTCGTTTTAAACACGTATATATGAGGGGGAGGGAACCCCCCACAAATCTATTGATCTGTATCGATCGGGAAAAAAAGGAGTCTGAGGGTGCGTCTTATAATCCGGTGCGAGCGAGTGCCGTGACCAAAGATTGTGTACAGCACAATAACAACAACAACACAACAAAGTTTTCGCCGTGCGATTCTTATAGTTCGATGTAAATACGATCACGTATCATCATTATCATCATTATGACACACACGCTCCTTGTATACTATTGGTATAATCGTCTTTGCTGCTGCTGTTGCTGTTGTTGTTGCTGTTGAACGTGGTGGGATTGTTTGTGGTTTTGATTTGGTGGTTGTGGTGGTTGGTGGTGGCTGTTGTGGTTGGTGGTGGTGGTGGTGTGGTTACTGTACCAGTGACACTTCGTGTTGGTTGGCGTGTCCCAGCTCTTGGCCAAGTGTCCACCCACGACATCGACACCGCCGCCTTAAGTCTCTCGCCACCGGGGTGAAGTATGGCTCACAACCCCCTCCCACCACCACCACCACCACAAACACACCACGCAACCACGAATCAAACTTTGATAATTAATTCACGCGCGCTGCACTGCCCACCGCCGCCGTTTTTTTCGCGATTGCATCTTAACAACCACCACCAGCAGCCACAACAACTTCCTGCTCTGGTCGCCGACAGCTTTGGGGTGCTCGCGACGCCCCCGGGGAGCCGCGAGGAACGGGAGCGTCGGTTACGTAACGGGAGAGGGGCCGCCGCGTTGCGCCCCCAGAGCGTTTTGCTTTAACAAAGAGAGAGAGAGTCGGGCGCCAATTTGGAGTGAGTGTGCGTGTGTGTGTGTGGGGAGCGGTGGTGTAGCGGTTAGCGCGCTGCGCTATGAACCTGGCGACCCGGGTTCGATTCCCGCTCACGGCCAACACCGGTGACGATTATCTGAACCGGTCCCGGGCCTCCCCTAGGTCGACTCAGCCTCAAATGAGTACCTGGTGCGGTGTGTAGTAAACATCGCCACTAGGGAGACAAAGGCGGTCGGGCGTGGTGCTGGCCACACCCACCCCCTCGTGTACCGTTTTCGGCCTTCATAGGTGCTCGCTAACAGCACTTGCCCCTGCAGTCTGTTACAGGCTATACGGGGGATCTTTGTCTTTGTTTGTTTGCCGTTGCGATTGTTTGGGAGTTGGGGAAGCGTCCAAATATAGGATCACAGAGCTTGGGAAAGTGTTGGAGATTGAGTGAGTGTGTGTGCGTGTTGCCGAGTTGTCTGCCGATTGGTTTTTTTCAACGGTGCTTTTTTTCAGGAATATTTTTGCTGGTTTTTATTTCCATGGATTTTCTGTTTGCACAGTCACATAGTCGCTTTAAGATGTTTTTCTTGTTCATGTTTTTCTGTGTTTTTTTGTTTGTTGTGGTTGCATCCGATTCAAGAGCCGAATGGCTCACAGGGCTATACCAAAATAAACTGAACTGGCTGGGAGGGTATTGGGAGTTGGGAAACCATCCAAATATAGGATCACAGAGCTTGGGAAATTGTTGAAGATTGAGTGAGTGCGTGACGCCCGCTGTATATTTGGAGCTTGCGTGTCGATCTCTTTCTCTCCCCGTGGTCGCGTGGATTTTCCTCCGGGTCCTCCGGTTTTTCCCTCCACATTTAGAGTCAACATGCGTTAAAAGTATTTGGCTACTGCTGCAAATTTCCAGGTGATGATAAGCCACTTCGTCGTGCTATAATTTGTGGCCAAGTCGCTTATATAGCTCAGTGAGCCTTACCTGGTAAAAAAACATAGTTCTCATTTACTTTCGTGTGTTTTCTCCGGATACTCTGGTTTTCTCCCACGTGTATCATCACTCAAACATATGGAGTAGGCCAAACATCCAAATATAGGACCACAAAGCTTGGGCATTTGTTGGTAGCGCCGGTGCTGGATGCTTGTCTCTGGTTTATAGCACCTCGTGCGTGCGTTACAAATTGTGCCGCGTTTTGAGATTCAAATTTGCATGAGACGAGACCCGATGAGCATTAAAAGTGAATAAATATGAAAATTAGTGGCAGTGCTGGGGGCCAGAGCAGAGATCGCTACCACGCCGGTGAACGCCTGTGTTCCAGAACTTTGGGGGGGAGGGGGGGGGTTGGGATTGGTGGATCAAACCGAATCATAATATTTATTTACACTGGAGGAATCCGATTAGCTATAAAGCTCTTCCCTCCCATCCCCCCCCACAAATGTGTGAAACTCTCTCCCGACGACGTTGCAACCTCCTGCCTTGCCAGGGCATGGCGCTACAGCGGGCGGGTTCATGCCCCATCTATTTTCGCTGTCTGCAATAGCCGGGTAGAGTACATAGGTCATAGTTCATTTATTTGGTATAGCCCTGTGAGCCATTCGGCTCTTGAATCGGGTGCAACCGCAACAAACAAAAAACATGAACAAGAAAAACATCTTAAAGTGATTATGTGACTGTGCAAACAGAAAATACAGGAAAAAAATATCAAAATATTCCTGATATAGCATGCCTCACCGGTAGAGGGAGATAGCGCAGCTCGCAATCGGAAGGTTTGAAGTGTTTGCAGACCAAATGCAATGTGTCAAAAAAAACCCAATGAAACTAGGGATCAGAATGTTTATTTATACTCGAGGAATCATATGAGCTTTGAAGCTCTTCTTCACAGATATACAGTTAGGGGCAGGTCAGACCGTAACCACAACTATACAAGACACGGCAGGAGTCTAAAGTATTGGAAAGGTAAACAAATAACTTTTAACAAAAAATTAAATTAAACAGTTTTTCTTTTTCATTATTACCAGTCAGAGCCCACCGAGTTATTCGCTTCTTCTTCAGAAGCGACCTGCCCACAAATGGATAGCTCAACGAAGTGGCCTTATCATCGTGCGGACATTTCACGTCAGCCAAATAATCTAAACGTGGAATTTTGATTTAAAGCTTTCGTGACTGCAGGGATTCATACTCTTGGTTATTTCGGTAAAGTCACCACGTAGAAGGGAAACAATAAAATAATAAAAATATAAAACAATACAATTATCACGACGTTTCGACTGCGACACAAGCAATCATCATCGGGTGTGAAAACCACAGCAAGAAATTTTGAAAAAAAGTGGCGTTTTTTTAACGTTAGCACCACTGTAGCGTTGACAAAGGAGGCAGAGACTTATTTGTAGGCAACACTGTTTATTTACTCTAACGTCAGAGATCGTCCCTAACACAGAGAGGTATCGGCCCCTCCCACCCGATAGCCTAGAGGATGATGTCCTCATACTTAGTGTGCCCTCACCCTATACACTCTGCTTAACAGGTACCACCACTGGGCCGTTCGGACCTGGCACTGCCTTTAAAGTCGTCCGTTGCCTTTAAAGTCGTCGGTTGCTTTTAAAGTCGTCCGTTGCCTTTAAAGTCGTCCGTTGCCTTTAAAGTCGTCAGTTGCCTTTAAAGTCGTCCGTTGCCTTTAAAGTCGTCAGTTGCCTTTAAAGTCGTCAGTTGCCGTTAAAGTCGTCCGTTGCCTTTGAAGTCGTCAGTTGCCTTTAAAGTCGTCGGTTGCCTTTAAAGTCGTCCGTTGCCTTTAAAGTCGTCAGTTGCCTTTAAAGTCGTCCGTTGCCTTTAACGTCGTCCGTTGCCTTTAGAGTCGTCAGTTGCCTTTAAAGTCGTCCGTTACCTTTAAAGTCGTCCGTTGCCTTTAAAGTCGTCAGTTGCCTTTAAAGTCGTCAGTTGCCTTTAAAGTCGTCCGTTGCCTTTAAAGTCGTCCGTTGCCTTTAAAGTCGTCCGTTGCCTTTAAAGTCGTCCGTTGCCTTTAAAGTCGTCCGTTGCCTTTAAAGTCGTCAGTTGCCTTTAAAGTCGCCCGTTGCCTTTAAAGTCGCCCGTTGCCTTTAAAGTCGTCCGTTGCCTTTAAAGTCGTCCGTTGCCTTTAAAGTCGTCCGTTGCCTTTAAAGTCGTCCGTTGCCTTTAGAGTCGTCAGTTGCCTTTAAAGTCGTCCATTGCCTTTAAAGTCGTCAGTTGCCTTTAAAGTCGTCAGCTGCCTTTAAAGTCGTCCGTTGCCTTTAAAGTCGTCCGTTGCCTTTAAAGTCGTCCGTTGCCTTTAAAGTCGTCCGTTGCCTTTAAAGTCGTCCGTTGCCTTTAAAGTCGTCAGCTTCCTTTAAAGTCGTCAGTTGCCTTTAAAGTTGTCCGTTGCCTTTAAAGTCGTCAGTTGCCTTTAAAGTCGTCAGTTGCCTTTAAAGTCGTCCGTTGCCTTTAAAGTCGTCCGTTGCCTTTAAAGTCGTCAGTTGCCTTTAAAGTCGTCAGTTGCCTTTAAAGTCGTCCGTTGCCTTTGAAGTCGTCAGTTGCCTTTAAAGTCGTCGGTTGCCTTTAAAGTCGTCCGTTGCCTTTAAAGTCGTCAGTTGCCTTTAAAGTCGTCCGTTGCCTTTAAAGTCGTCCGTTGCCTTTAGAGTCGTCAGTTGCCTTTAAAGTCGTCCGTTACCTTTAAAGTCGTCCGTTGCCTTTAAAGTCGTCAGTTGCCTTTAAAGTCGTCAGTTGCCTTTAAAGTCGTCCGTTGCCTTTAAAGTCGTCCGTTGCCTTTAAAGTCGTCCGTTGCCTTTAAAGTCGTCCGTTGCCTTTAAAGTCGTCAGTTACCTTTAAAGTCGCCCGTTGCCTTTAAAGTCGCCCGTTGCCTTTAAAGTCGTCAGTTGCCTTTAAAGTCGTCCGTTGCCTTTAAAGTCGTCCGTTGCCTTTAAAGTCGTCCGTTGCCTTTAAAGTCGTCCGTTGCCTTTAGAGTCGTCAGTTGCCTTTAAAGTCGTCCGTTGCCTTTAAAGTCGTCAGTTGCCTTTAAAGTCGTCAGCTGCCTTTAAAGTCGTCCGTTGCCTTTAAAGTCGTCCGTTGCCTTTAAAGTCGTCCGTTGCCTTTAAAGTCGTCCGTTGCCTTTAAAGTCGTCCGTTGCCTTTAAAGTCGTCAGCTTCCTTTAAAGTCGTCAGTTGCCTTTAAAGTTGTCCGTTGCCTTTAAAGTCGTCAGTTGCCTTTAAAGTCGTCAGTTGCCTTTAAAGTCGTCCGTTGCCTTTAAAGTCGTCCGTTGCCTTTAAAGTCGTCAGTTGCCTTTAAAGTCGTCAGTTGCCTTTAAAGTCGTCCGTTGCCTTTGAAGTCGTCAGTTGCCTTTAAAGTCGTCGGTTGCCTTTAAAGTCGTCCGTTGCCTTTAAAGTCGTCAGTTGCCTTTAAAGTCGTCCGTTGCCTTTAAAGTCGTCCGTTGCCTTTAGAGTCGTCAGTTGCCTTTAAAGTCGTCCGTTACCTTTAAAGTCGTCCGTTGCCTTTAAAGTCGTCAGTTGCCTTTAAAGTCGTCAGTTGCCTTTAAAGTCGTCCGTTGCCTTTAAAGTCGTCCGTTGCCTTTAAAGTCGTCCGTTGCCTTTAAAGTCGTCCGTTGCCTTTAAAGTCGTCAGTTACCTTTAAAGTCGCCCGTTGCCTTTAAAGTCGCCCGTTGCCTTTAAAGTCGTCCGTTGCCTTTAAAGTCGTCCGTTGCCTTTAAAGTCGTCCGTTGCCTTTAAAGTCGTCCGTTGCCTTTAAAGTCGTCCGTTGCCTTTAGAGTCGTCAGTTGCCTTTAAAGTCGTCCGTTGCCTTTAAAGTCGTCAGTTGCCTTTAAAGTCGTCAGCTGCCTTTAAAGTCGTCCGTTGCCTTTAAAGTCGTCCGTTGCCTTTAAAGTCGTCCGTTGCCTTTAAAGTCGTCCGTTGCCTTTAAAGTCGTCCGTTGCCTTTAAAGTCGTCAGCTTCCTTTAAAGTCGTCCGTTGCCTTTAAAGTCGTCA